TGTTTCTTCTTGATGGAAGCTGTCATCTTGCTGAAGCCCAGAGCCCCTGAGCAGCAGTAAATCTTTAGGCTGTCAGCCAATCAACCTCTATATTTTCAGCATGATGCTGAAAAATAGAGGGCAACTGAGCATGTGCAGAGCAAAGTGTAACAGAGTATTACTGGATTTAAATAGTATAGGCACTTATTTTTAATGTTTTACATTGATATACCTGCAAAAGGGGCCAGCCTAAAGTAATCCAGCAGGACTTAAAGTGGAACTTTACCCAAAAGGGGAACTTCCACTTGTTTGCATCCTCCCCTCTCCACTGCCACATTTGGCATGTATGGGGGGGGAGAACAGGTACCTAGTTTTGACAGGTACCCGTTCCCACTTCAGGGTCAGATTGCCACAGCGATCTGTGAAGAAGTTCGCCCCCCTCCCCAAAGCTTTCTGGGACAGATCACAGGTCCAAGAAGACTGTGGGCTAATTCACAAAGTGCAGCGTGGTTTTCACATGTGCAGTAGGAAACCGGCTGTGAAGCTGGACGGCTTCACTGCTGGCTTCCCTTACCTAAGATGCCGACACCTGCACCCAAAGCCGAATGAAGAATCGGCTCGGGTGAAGACATCGCTGGATCCCTGGACAGGTAAACGTCCTTTTAGTAAAAGTCACCAGTATTTGTAGTTGCTGCCTTTAAATTTTTTTGGGGGGATACTGGAGCTCCTCTTTAATTTTCTGACTAAAGTTCCACTCTAAGAAGTACTTTTCTTTCTAAACTGTGATTTTAGCAGGTCTCTCAGCATCCATTGTAAGATAATTCACAATATTTGACTAGTTTTGTTACTGTTAAATGGCTCTACTAATACTATGCATGTGAGACAGTTAAGCCTGGCTAAAGTTTATTATTTAAACTTTTATTATTTAAACAATTTATTTCACAGAATAAATTCCAAAGGTCTTCATTGCCAATGGATTTGTATTTATATCTATTTGTTTCTAAACCAGCTCAGTGACTTTTCTCTGCTGCAATTAAGGAATTCACAGAGGTCCAACAGTGCAAACAAGAGGATAAAAGACACACATTTTTTGCAGCACAGACCTAAATGCTCAAATCACCAGCATTAGGTTGAACTTGCAATTTACAATATTGCCATATGTACTCATACAATTCACAAACTTTTCAAACTCAGCTCTCAGGCTATCAAGAAAGTCTCAACTGACAAACGGATTGCATTACTAGCCAAGATATAGGTGTGCGTATATAAAGGATTAAAAATAACTCTGTATTCTTCTTCAGCATAATCTTTAAATCTAATAAAAAGCCTGTGAACACTTGGTACCTTCTCACAGAGGCACCGCTCCATGATCTGCCTGCAGCCTTCCATATACAATAGTAGCTGCTGCTGCCTTGCAGAGCACAGTACACAACTATATTTTGGCTATTGAAGCAATAACAATCTGTTTGTCGATTGAGATTTTCTTCACAGCCTGGTGGCTGAGTTTGAAAGTCTGTACATCGGCTGCCCACAGTGAAAATATTTGACTTAACCAGTTGCAGACTCATGTCATCATTGTACACAGGGCATGTGTAAAACATTCAGTCCTTCTGGCCTGCTGCCAGGACCTCTCCTGTCCCAGTACTCGGCAGTTCAGCTTTGATTAATCAAAGCAGAGTACACATAGAAAGTTCTGACAGCTGGAGTTGCCAAAAAAGCAGTTTGTCAATGTTTATCAAAAACATTGCTCAATAAATAGAAACATACAAAGAAAAAATGTTTCATTTTGTAGCTTACTATTTATTCATCTGCAGTTCAAAGGGATGAACTTTGATCTGCAGATGAAGGCAGTTAACACAACCTGACAAGAAAAAAACAGTTCGTTTTTGTTTTGTTTTTTTTTTAAATTAAAGCGATACTAAAGCTTCAGGGTTTTCTTTAAAAAAAAAAAAAAAACAACAACCATGTTATACTTACATGCTCTGTGCAGTGGTTTTGCACAGAGCAGCCACGATCCTCTTCTTTTTGGGTCCCCACCGGTGATCCCAACTCCTTCCCCTCGAACAATGACCCCAGTGACCCTGGGGGGCACGGCTGCATGCTTGTCCCCAAGCCGTTGCTCTATGCATCCATAGGGCGCATAAAGCCGTGGTGCGGCCCCGCTCCACTCTCTCCTCATTGGCTCACTGGCTGTGATTGACAGCAGCGGGAGTCAACGGGCTCCTACTTCTGTCTCACCCAATGAAGAGGGAGAGACCCCTTACAGCAGAGGCTCACGTGAACTTTGCTGGATCAGAGGGGGCTCAGGTAAGGATTAGGGGGGAGCTGGGGGGGCCGCTGTACACAGAAGGTTTTTAACCTTCATGCATAGAATTAATGAAGGTAAAAAACCTTGAGCCTTTAGAGCCGCTTTAAATATTAACCCTTCGTTTACTCTAATCAGCCCTAATAAACTTTTTATTCTCCTTCTCCATTCAATTATTATTTTCCTACTGGTTTTTTTTTTGTTTCTATTTTATTAACTAACAATATTTAACCACTTGCCCTCCAGAGGATTTACCCCCCTTCCTGACCAGGCCATTTTTTGTGATACGATGCTGCGTTACTTTAACTGACAATTGCGTGGTCATGCAATCCTGTACATAAAATAAATATATGTCCCTTTTTTTCCCCACAAATAGAGCTTTCTTTCGGTGGTATTTGATAACTTGTGTGTTTTTTATTTTTTGAGCTATAAACGAAAAAAGAAGCACAATTTTGAAAAAAAAACTATATTTTTTACTTTTTGCTATAAAACATATCCAGTAAAAAAAATTTTAAAACTCAAATTTAGTCATAAATTTAGGTCAAAATGTATTCTGCTACATATCTTTGTTAAAAAAAAAACATCCCAATACATGTACATTAATTGGTTTGCGGTGGCGGTATATATACTGGAATAGTTTTTTTTTATACTAGTAATGGTGGCAATCAGAGACTTATAGTGGGACTACAGCAGGCATTCTGACACTGCTGGGAACTGACTGTCACTGACATCCCCAGTGACACTAACACAGTGATCAGCGCTAATAAAAAGCACTGACACTGTACTAATGACACTGGGCAAGAAGGGATTAACATCTGGGGCGATCAAAGCGTTAACTGTGTGCTGTGCTGTGTTTTACAACATGTGCGGTTTGTGTTTTACTTGGGAAACATGCTGCTTTGTATTTCTCTGATGTGCAGAGAAGTACACAGCAGCACGTTCTTACTGGCAGGAGAGAGACCTTTATTGTTTACACACAGGTCTCTCCCCTGTCAGCATTACTCGGCAATCGCTAGGTGCCGTCGGGGAATTTCCAGCGGGGACCCGGTGATTGACATCTGTAGCCGCCAATGGCTCATCTGTAGCCGCCAACGCACACGCCCTCTACCTGGAGATGCAGATCACGTATATATATGTGATTTTGAGCAGCCCTGCCACCCTGTAGCGGTAGTTCTACTATAGGGTGTCAGGGAAGCGGTTTAAATTTTTTTTGTTTTTGTTTCCTTTGTTCATTAATATTTTTACACCTTTAACTTATATTTACAAATGTCATGTTTATAAAAAGCGCAAAAGGGAAAAAAAAACTTTACTGCATTTGTGAATAACTTTGCAATGCTTTGTACCAGAATCATAATTTTAGTACCATTGTAAACAGGACAAATTACAGAACATAATGTGTATTTTTTATGAGCAGTAACACTATGTATCTTTAAACTAATGCTGCTCCATAAAATAAAGTGTGTTTTGTTACACAAGTTTTGTGCTCAACAAAACTCTACATAGCCAGGTGTGAAAAAATAACTACATACAATAATATACATAACTAAGAATACAGTGTCCAAATAACGTACATAAAGTGGCTGCAGCTGCTGAATGGCAAAAGTTCAAATGATCAACTTCTGTAGACAGGGACAGCCACACACTGGTAGAAGTTCATCTGGTCCCTGCTGAAGAGGCTGAGTTTCAATCAGTGTAGAGACAACTTTATTCTTACTTAGCTCCAGAATGTAATCCTGCCATTCTGGTCATATAAAGGTCACATAAACTCACTGTATAACTGTTTAGTCAAAGTAGGTTTCCATTATTCTGGAGGAACCATCTCCAGATGCTAGTATGCAAAACTGTAGAACACTGGAATGCAGAAAACAACCAGGACTTATCTGAGTGCGAGGCCACCTTCTTATAGCACACAAGAACTATTAAAGAGTAAGTGTTCCTACAAGGGGCGGACTGACCATTTGGAAACTCCGGCACTGCCCGAGGGCCCAGGGTCAGTAGGGGGCCCCATGAGAAGCACCTGGTACCTTTTTCATAGGCTTTTTTGAGTTTGGGCAAGGACACAGGGGCCCCATGATCCCCTATTGCCTGGGGGCCCCATGAGTTGTCAGTCAGCCCCTGGTTCCTACCCTTCTGTGTTGTGACTGCGGAGTATGGACTCACCAGTTTAGACAAGCTTGAGTGTGAAAACATGCAGCATTTATCCTGTTCAGGAAGTAAAGCAAGGTTTACAACCTGACTACATTGCTACCATTCTTTACATGCTGATGTTTCTGGATGCGTAGTTTATTACACAGTGAAATGGAGGCCACGCTATTTAACACATTATGTCACCTCTCTTTCTGTACCAGTTCACAATCACCTGCTTGCACAAATGTCATCCAAACCAGCAATAAATATGTGCTCACAGGATCAGGATTTACTTCAAAATTGGTCTGTACTGACAGCACTCATAGAACTGTAGAAAGGAATATACCAGTAAGTATAACAATTTCAAGAGACACAAGATTGATTAAAGTGGCCATTAACACTGCAAATTGTACTTCACAGTAGACATTTCGGTAGGATTTTCCATTACCTTCATACGTGATATTGTTGTGTTGATATCATCAGGATCACCCACAGTGACAATATTTGACTTAAGCATCTGGTCTATAAGCAACAGCCAGTCTGACAGTTCAGTGATCGTCTTATCGAGGTCAGTGGTAGGTGGCAAGTCCACAACATGCTTGGCCACTCCTGGGAACTCAGAAGCAGAAGACACCAGCACCATTTTCTGAACTGGAGGGAAAGCTGCAAAACACAGGTATACATGCATAATAAAGTATGGTAATGTGTATATTTAAAGTACAATACAGTACATTTGTAGATACAGTAGAATCTGCTCAGGTTTAATATGCCTCAGCTAGACATGTCAACTGTATTACAGGTCAACTGTTTTAATAGATAGAATAGGTTAAAGGATAAGTTCACCTTTACAAAAAAAATATAAATGCACATTTTTGTGCAGATAAAAAACATGCATTTAATATTATTTTTTTTGTTAGACGCTTGTAAAGCATTGCACCTATGATCAGCAAATCGTGTGTGCGATGCCACATTCCTGCAGACTAAAAAATGGCGGTCGGAGCCTCGAATCATTAGGAGGTATGGGCATATAAGGAGCGGCAAGTGGGACGTCCTTATCCCTTCAGACGAAGTCCGGAAGTGACGAAACGCGTTAGAGGAGTGACGTCAAGGCGCACGTACGTAGACCGGAAGTGTCGCCGCGGCCATTTTGTTGGTTTGAAACGCATGATGTTTGGTTGGAGAAGTTTCTAACCATGTCTGGAGCTGAGTTTTCTAATTTTACATGTAAGTGTTGAATAAAAGTGATTTATATTCTTGAAACACTAGCCCTGAGACCCTGTTTATCTCTCTGAGGACCTTGGAAAGAAAACAATTAACTTGGAAGAGGAGGTGGAAGAACATTATTCCATATTAGTGTCTGAGCGTTTAATACTCATAAGAGGGTAATAGTACTTAGTACTACTGTGTGCCGGTTGATTGGTAGACACTGATTTGCAGTGATCACAGTGTGTTCACGGTTTGATATGTGTGATTATATGCACTATAAGGAATTAATTTAATATTTTTTTTTTTTTTCTCTCTCACTATATGTTTTTGAAGTGTATTTTGGTTGCTCGGGGTGATTATTGGTATTTTTGTTGTCATTGAGGTAATGCACTAGATATTTTTATATCTTATTTTTCGGTACGTTTTGGATGAAATAGCAGCCAATCCTTCCAGTGGAGGAAAAGAGTGAATACTATTTGGGATATTTGTGGACACTATTTGGACTTCTTTTTGGACATATTTTGGATTTGTGGGATTTTGTTGCACATTATATGTTTGTAATTTGAAAATTGATTTTTAAGTCCACAACATGCTTGGCCACTCCTGGGAACTCAGAAGCAGAAGGCACCAGCACCATTTTCTGAACTGGAGGGAAAGCTGCAAAACACAGGAGTATACATGCATAATAAAGTATGGTAATGTTTATATTTAAAGTACAATACAGTACATTTGTAGATACAGTAGAATCTGCTCAGGTTTATTATGCCTCAGCTAGACATGTCAACTGTATTACAGGTCAACTGTTTTAATAGATAGAATAGGTTAAAGGATAAGTTCACCTTTACAAAAAAAATATAAATGCACATTTTTGTGCAGATAAAAAACATGCATTTAATATTATTTTTTTTGTTAGACGCTTGTAAAGCATTGCACCTATGATCAGCAAATCGTGTGTCCGATGCCACATTCCTGCAGACTGTTTGATTAGCTGTCTGACCATACGTCCAATACAGGCAGGCAGTTACACTGTGAAAGGAACATTGAGGACTACAAGTCACTGTGAATGAATGACATGGGCAGGTGAGCAGAGCCCCGCTTGGCCACATTTTTTTAAAATTCTGACAGCGAGCGAAGGGAGAAGATCCCTGGCTCGCTATCAAAATGGAGGATCTGGGGGGTGCAGAGGCTGGTGCATCTATAACATTGTACATGTTACACTCTGAATATGAGTGTAACCTGTAACATGTTACAAAAGGTGAACTTATTCTTTACCTTACAGTATATTGTGTACTAGTTTTGTTCACATCCTGTTAGCACCTCTGCTTTGTATACATGCTGCATATTTTTAAGCAAAAACTCTCTCTCTCTCTCATATAAATGGACATATGTAGGGGTGCATAAACATGTTCATGTAAGCGTATGAATGCTATAACACATAGTTTATTGAACTGTAAACATGGTCTCCTGTAAGACTTATTCAGCTACTAAACTGAATGACTTTTTATAAGGGTGTAATGCAGACATAATCTGATGTGATAGGAATATGCACACGTATAGTTCAGCTCATTTCCACTTAAATCTGGCCCTGGATCAGTTCACTTCACTGCAATTCACCTTGAACTGTTGAAATTCAGACTTAGCTTCTGGATTGTCCTCAGGCTTTTCCTGGGAGACATTCCATCACCTCTTTAGGGTGCCATGTTTATGGAATGAGTTAAATGACAAAAGTCACATCAGAATGGCATCAGTTGTTTAATCTGCGTAAACTTGTAGAAAATTAAATTGGTTGATCTTATCAATGCAAGTATTCTGGCACTGTATTATTATTGTCCAGAAAGGAGACATAAAATATGAATAAAGCATATCCCTCTATAGTGTTGTCTGAATCTAGAACACTAAGTGTAATTTCTGTTGGCCTTGTTCCTCTCTATCTGCATGAGTCAATTCTGACACGTTTCCTGACAACAAAACGTAAAAAAGATGAAAGGGGAGGGAGTTCCAGCAAACAGCCTGTGATTGACAGCCTCAGCTCTGTTCCTGTGTGCTGTGTGAAGGGGGGTGTATCCCTTCCCTCTAATCAGCTCTTGGAGCTCTCCTAACTGAGCTCTGCAGAGTGTAACGTCAGCTATCTGCCCCATTTTTCTGAAATCTCAGACAAGCTTTATAATGTCTGGACTCTGAATGGATGTAGAAAATATAAGACAGCAGATAAACAGGTGCAGCGTTTGAAGGTGGATTTGTTTCATCTCTGTGTATCACTTGAGACCACCCCAGTCACATAACCAATTTAACAAATTATCAATGGCTCTCCCACTCACAAGGTGAACCACACACACTGGGGTGTTTTTTTCCTTCCTGCACAGTTTTGCTAGTATTGTTCTTCTATTAGCATCTAAAATTACTCTGTTACATTTCTTTGGTGGAAATACTCCATTTAGTGTATATTATTTAGTCTCTAAGAAAGTTATAGAGTCCACAAACCATGGTATATATATATCTGACAATCGATCAATCCTGATGTACTGAGGGCCCATCTCCCTTCTTGAGGCCAAAAAATGCCAGAATAGTACAAATACTTCAAATTATCCATTTTTGGAAAATAGGCAGTCCAAGGAATTTAGTAAGAGGCATGGTGAATTTTTTGGAGGTTGTAATTTTTTTTTTGGAAAAAGTAGAAATTTAAAAAAAAAAATCATAATTTTTTTTGTACATATTGTCACCAGTCTAGTACAGCATTCTTTTATAACTGGTGAGGTGGTGATCAGGGACACTGACTGGTGACAGTATGTAAAAAAAAATGAAAATAATAATTTAAATTACATTTTGTATTCAAATTTTTCTTTTTTTTTTTTGCTTTTGTGACCAAAGCAATACAATCTTACCATAGTAACATTGAACTACTCTGGGCAAGTGATCAGGATTTTTTTGTTATGATTGCTAATAGCACTGTATTTCATTGATATTTGCAATCATTGTTGCTGAATGAAACTGATTCATTCAGTCTCTTGTTGTGATTAGCTGTGATTGGGCAAAGCTCATCACATGATACAGATGGACTGTGATTGGCCCTGTCTGTACCATGTGATTGCTTTGACCAATCACAGCTAACAACAAAATTGTATACAATGGATGGCATGTGGCTCTAAGGCCACATGAGCGGCTCCTTCTGACAGGACATCATATGACGCCCAGTCAGAATGAAGAATGTCCCGCCCGGTTGTCAATCTGCTATAACCCGGGCGGGAAGGTGTTAAAACCATAAGCGCTTTACAGTATATTCAGCATGACTGCAGTATTCCCTGAATAACTTTTTTTGTACTGCACATAATTTGCATTCCGTTGTCTGTATTGCACTCCGAATTTTGCATTTGGTGCAAAGTAACATTTTCTATAAGCCAGGAAAGTTGCAAAACATTAACATTTCAAAAAGTGTCCACAATTAGGGACCCCTCATTGCAGAGGTGCCTTGACAGGGAAGTGTTGATTCCGATGTATGCAAGTGTATTTAACAAAACTTCTGTTTAAAACAGAAACTTTTTTGTGTGCCTACTGGGTGGGTGTACTAGGGAAATGTAATCTTCTCACACCTGTTCCAGAGCATGTCTCTAAGACAGGAAATAAAGGGAAATTGCTACAATGGGACACAGACAGCATAATAAACAACAGGGTTTTAAACTTTACTTACTATATAGAAAATGCTTTGGCTTTAGGTATACGTTAAATAACTTATGAGATGCTACTTACTTTTCACCTGTATGTCTATGCTACTCAGAACTTATATCGGATAGCTTTCATATTAAAGAGATGCCGTCACCTTGAGAATGCAGAGCAAAGGGTCAATGTCTCTGCAAAGGACATCCATAACCTCCTTGTACACAACATTATCTGAGCTCCCTCTCAGCTCCTTGCCTCTCTGCAGCCAGCAGGAATGCCTGGAACTTCCTGGTATGAAGAAGCACATGACCTCCTCTCCTGTGAGGTTGCCCAGGCAAGCAGCCAATTACCTGATCTAAGCAATGTCATATGACCAGGGTAACAAGGGGCTTTGAGGGATTTTACCTGCCCTTTCAGAGACAATGTAACTTTGCCCTGCATGAAAAAAGGTGAAAGTGTCTCTCTAGAAATTAGCATGTTAAATGTACTAGCCCCTTTTTGCATCAGATAAAACTTTCTTCAGGAATAAAGAAATGAAGCATATTGTTTAAAGAGAAAGTAAAAATAGGTTGTGCTTACTGGGCATTAATGGCTGAGTGGTATAGGTGGGATAATATAAACCTCTTTCCAGATCTTTTATATTTTCAGGCACTTCTCTGGACACCTGAAACAATACAAAAAAGAAATATGAACAAAAAGAAAGATCTTCTACATTGTTTTAAATTCAGTTAATGCATTTAATCTGCTATGTGCTTCAGAACCTCCAAACATCTGAGCCATTTTAAAGAGCTTATCCAGCATGATCAGTGAAAATAATGTACTACATATGGACTTCATGTATAAACATCATCTAAGCACATCAACAAAAAAAATGTATTACCAGTGCGGTAAAACAACATTTGTAAAACAAAGTGAAGCACATCATGAAAATTCTAGGGATGCACCGAAATTTTGGCCACAGAAACCTATCGGCTGAAAATAGCCCCATGGTCATTTTGCCGATAGGAAAAATTTAGCTGCTACAGGTGCTGATACAGGGGACTGTGTGTACTGCAGATATGAGGGGGGAGGTGGCTGAGAAAGGCAGGAGCGGAGCAGAGTATACAGTGACTGGCTGTCACTATGGGGTTTATTTACTAAAGCTGGAGAGTGCAAAATCAGACTCACTTCTGCATAGAAACCAATCAGCTTCCAGGTTTCATTGCCAAAGCTTCATTGAACAAGCTGAGGTTAGAAGCTGATTGGTTTCTATGCAGAAGGGAGTCTGATTTTGGACTCTCCAGCTTTAGTAAATAAACCCCTTTATGTCAGTGTCGTTTTTTAAATGTAATTACCGTTTTTTATTTTTCTTCACTATAGCTCTCAGGATTAGCTGTCACTTTCCCCCCAGTTAAAAGAAACAAAGTTTCCTTTTAGTTTTTTTCCCCAGATAAAAGAAACAAAGTTTCCTTTAACTCCAAGGAAAATGACAGCTAATTCTGTGAGCTATAGTGAAGAAAAAAAAAAGCTGGCAATTGCATTTAAAAACCGGCACTGACATATAGTGACGGCCAGTGAAAGAGCCTCTCTGTATACCCTGCTCCCTCACTGTATAGACTGCTCCTATCCTGCCCCCTCCTTGCACAGACTGCCCCCTACAAAGAGGACCTTTCACTCATAAGCTATCGCATAGGGGACTATTGGTCTCCTATGTGATAGCAAAAAAATCATAAGCTAAAAAAAATAAATACAAATATACATGAAAGTAGAAAAAAATACAAAACAAATTGGAGCCTTCCCACCCCCATATATGCAGACATTTCAGTTTCGGTTTTCTGCCACATACATTCTGAATTTTTGGTATCGGTTTCGGCGCCAGAATTTTCATTTCGGTTTCATTGGATTTCGGTTTACTGAAAGATTAGGTACCCATGCACATGGCAGCATGGGGGCAAACAATGTGCAAGAGCATACAAAATGTGAAAAATTTTCCCCAAGAGTCGCAGCTCCTACATACAGCCATCCATACAAAGCAATTACAGGATGCAGCTGCGTGCAGGTTCCCACTGGTACGTGCACAAACACAAGTGCAGATGTACACCCTGCACACAGACATCCTCTGTCCAGGGTTGCATGTCCTGATGTGTATTTATGCAAATACCAACGTATACCTGCATCCTGTATTTGTTTTCTATAGGTGACTATGCGCAGCAGCTGTGAACCCTGGGGAAGTTTTTTTTACAGATTCTGTACACTCTTACATGTTGCCTTGCGCTGGGTGCATACGCACTATTTGAATGGCTGCTGCGGTCTTCTTTACTTTGAACAAGGGTATATCAGGCTAGGTTTAGACCTGCATCTAAACTGTTGCTTCTCTGAAAAGGTAAAAACGTTCCATGTTCAGATCGCTTTTTAGAGCTGTTTGACGGGTAGTAAGGAGGTGATGTGACACCTCCTCACTGCCTTTTTTAACCCCATAATTGCTGCACAAATGCACTAAAACCTTACGTTGCACGCAGTTTAAGGTCGTTCTCAGAACTTCCTCATTCATTGGAATGGATTGTGCTCAGCGGGCAGCATGTCAAGTAAATTTTGCCATGGGCGCAAAGCAGTGTGAACTCTTCCATCCCCTGGCATGTGAATACCCCCTGCCGTTGAAGCATAAGGGGGAGGGCGATTATGGAGCGCTAAAAATGTGGCTCAACTGCTCATTTTTAATGCTCCCCAAAACAAAGGCCTTATTCTCCCAAAAAAGAAACAAACATAATACATTAAATAGTATTACCAAATCTGTATGTAACTAAACAGAATATAAACATCTTTTTCTGGAAAAAAAAGTCTGGAATTATGAGAGAGTTTAGCAAACATTTGGTATAACAGAGCGTAATTTCTCGAACTTAACATTACAATTAAGATTGAAGTGTATTAGCGATTTATTAGCCTAATGATTAGGGCATCATAAAACCTTTGAATGGAAGAGTGAGCATATTTCTATCCATACCCAACACACGTGCATTTATTCTGATATGTAACTATTACGTTAACTGAAATGCAAATGTGAATTAGAAACTTGGCTAGACTATCCACAAAAAAAATAAAAAATAGGAGAAAATTTTTATAATATTAAAAACAAAACCTCATACTTGTTGTATTTGTACACTTAAACACCTATAAAATAATTTATACTGTGGCACACAAGCAAATATTTGCCATGTGAAGGTAAGTGGTGAAAGTAAAAATATGGCTGAAAAGTCTAAGGGCTGGTTTAGGCATGCAGCCAGGATGCATTAAAAGCTGGTGGTTGAGCCACAGTTTTACCGCCCTGCAAACACCCACCTAAACAAAGACATGCAATTGCTCAAGGCTGTCCGCATGGTGGAGCCAGAAATTAAACCACATGTCTCATTCTGGGGGAGGTACTGTCACTGGACATGACCCATTTAAGTGATTGGGGCTGCCCCGCAACAGCTCTGCAACATGATTGTGGTAGTTTTCAGGGTAAAAACAGGCAGTGACAAGCCAAAATATTGCCTCTTCACCACCTGTCAAATGCTCTCTGAAAAGTGATCCACCATAATTTACAAATGCTTAATCCAAGGGTTATGCAAAGACGTTGAGTCTTTTTTTACATTATGCTAATAATAACTAAAAAAAACAATTGTCATTATAAGACTACGCTGTATTACTGATCTTTACTCAGCTGTGTGTAATGTCCCATAGACAAATGCATCTCATTTCAGACCAGCAAAAAACTCAGCATTTTCTACTCATGTGTGAAACAGGCCTAATACAAGCTGAATGCACCTATAGGCATGTTGCATTTGTTCATTTGGGGCTCGTATAAGGCCCCATTTACACGGGACGTTTCTGAACGATAGAAACTGACTGCTGGAGAACGTAGGTTGTAAAACATCTGTTCAGCTGCGTTTGCATAACGCGTTTATGCACGTCTGCGTTTTAGAAGCGTTTTTTACAGATAAGCACAAGAGAACCTTCCAAATCCCCAGAATGCACTGAAAAGTGGAAAATTATTAACTATTTCAGACTGTTTCAGAGAAATACACACAGTAGTAGCAGAGACAGCAGTATGTGTTAAGATAATTAGGTGTGAGTTGCTCATTAACATTTCTTTTGTTTCCAAGGGTGGGAAAGCTGTCTGCTGGTGTGAGTCTTTAAGGTCACCTAGCAGGGGGTCTTCATGAGGAATTTGAGGTGTGAATGTGCTTTAACATATCTTTTGTTTCCAAGGGTGGGAGAGGTCTGTGGTGTGAATTGGTCATTACAATGTGTGACAAGCTTGGTAGAAACATCCTGTGTTAAGTGTTTTGTCCATCTGAGCACCTTGAAAACTCTTTGCATGCATTTTTCATGATGAAAAAAGGCTCTGGACAGCATTGGGAACTGGAAAGAGTTAAAAAAAAACTTCAAACGCAAACGCTTATAAAAGCGATTTGCTGCGTTTATAAGCAATTTGCGTTTGAAACGCTGATAAAATTGACGTCTGAACGCAAGCTTGTTGCGTTCAAAAAAACGACTGTAAACGTTGAGTAAACGACTGTAAACGAAGATGTGTACATGGACACATAGGAAAACATTGGGGTGAGTTTAGGGGCTGCTGAAAAAAAAAAAAAACGCTAAACAGCTCCTAAATGTGAGTTTAGCAGCTGCAGTGTACATGAGCCCTAAACGAGCTTCGCTCATGCATACTGCATTTTCATTTGAATGTAGTCATGCTCAAGTGTAACACACAGAAGGGGCTGTGACTGCATTTGACATGTTTTGCTTGTGATGCTATCAGATCTTGACAAGACCTGCTGCATTTAAAGACATGCAAGGAAAAGCTAAACAGATTAAATGCATCCGCACATTTAAAGTAGAAGAAAATTTTGATAATGTAGTGTGCTGCAAACCTGAATCAAATAAAGAACAACAAAGCCCATTTACACAACAGCTCTTACACTGTTTTCAAATGACAGTTACAAACGAGTTTTGGGATTCCAGCAGCCATTTCATTGGTGAATACAGGACCCCCATTTTTACAGATGCCCTATAGCTACCAGAATTAAAAAAAAAAATACTGCATGGGGAAGAAGTATACACCAAAGTGCAGAAGGGAAAATAAAGGCACATAAATATACAGTAACTGAGAAAAGGAGCAAGCAGAAAATGCTTTAACGGTTAACGGGAAGAATAGAAAAAATATTGATAACTATGATTGTTTCAGGTAATTGATGTTGCTTTAGGGGTTATTAGACAAATTACATAGAGAATATTTTATCTTATATTTTCCATTGTGACAAATAATCCATTTCTATAGAGAAGTAGACATAACAGAATAGCAGCTCACTCAGCCATTACAATTGCTGCATGGTATGAATATCAAGCAAGTAAATACGATTCTCCCCTAGACAGGAAACCCTATGTGGTCTGCCTACCTGCTGAATGGATTGCTCTCCCTATTCCTAGAAAACTGTACAACTCTACAAAAGATGCTAAAGTTACATAAATAAGATGTACATGGGGTTTAAAATATGTATTTTACATTAGAGAAGCGTGATTTGTATCAATATGTATAGTATATAATGTTCTACTGACTATGGGGTAGATTTACTAAAACTGGTGCATTCAGAGTCTGGTGCAAGTGTGCAGATACCCAATCAGCTTCTAACTTCAACTTGTTCAATTAAGCTTTGGCAGTAAAACCTGGAAGCTGATTGGTCTCTATGCAGAGTTGCGCCAGATTTTGCCAATGTTCCTTTTTTGTTCCTAGTTTCATATTAACAGAAATATATACATGTTCACAAACAAAATAAAAAATAATTTTCCCTGATAGGAATCTGATCTGTTTCCACACCTGAGCCCAGCTGATGTTTATGGTTCGTAGTCTAGTAGAAAGTTTCTCTCTGTCCTGAGCACTGAGGAACTTCAAAGCCAACATATCTGGTGCTGCACGATTCAGCCATTCCACTTTCTCACTCTGGGTTCCCAGATCTTTATTGAAGGCCTGAAGAGGGCACAAGAGAGCTTTATTTCTAGTGATCACATACAACCGAATTCAAAGTCAACATTTTTTAGAGCTACAGAGACTATGTCTTTCACATTTACTATAGAAGTTGCATTTATTGATGTAGAAATCATAGTACTCAAAAAACACATTTTAACAAGCATGCATTGAGCACCACAGCAAAATCATCACAGCACTCCCATACTCTGCAACTTCCATGTTACATCAGTGTCTGTGCTATTCTATAACAATAACTTGCAATACAGAATCAAGAAATTATCTTGCAATTAGGTTGTACTGAGCTTCATTTGCCATCGAACCACTAAGCAACTGCATTGGCAGCTGCATTTATACTCTCACCTCTTTAAATTAAATTACAATCTCTAATGTAATAATGTGATTTTCATCTCCGGAAGCAGTTGTAAAGTTTTCTGAATATAATAAACATATACTTACCTGCTCTGTGCAATGGTGTTGCACAGAGTGGCTTTACACATCCTCTCCTGGGGTCCCCCACCAGGGATCTTGGCTCCTCCTCTTCTCCGAGTGCCCACATAGCAAGCCACTTGCTATGGGGAGCTTGTGTGGGCTAGATCCAGAGCTGGGCAAACATCACATACCAATATGGTATGATCAAAAAAAGCAATTTAACCAAATGACAGCTACAGTGCGGTTGTCTAGTTCTGGGAAAGCGTCATATGACATCCTCAGGAACTGCACCTCCCGTGTGCCCCTGGGGTGTGCTCCCGGCGAGCTCTGTGATCACCGTGTCCATCAAACATAGCTGATCACATGACATGGTAAAGAGCCAATCACAGCGCCCTTTTATCAAGTGATTAGCAGTGTCCAATGACACAGCTGATCACAATGTAAATACAGTTGCCAGTTATCAGCTGCACTTGGCAGTCAGTGGTCATCAGTGCTGCTAGTCAGTGTCCATCAGTGCCACCAGTCAGTGCCCATCAATGCCACCAGTCAGCGCCCATCAGTGACATTCAGTGCTGCCTATCAGTGCCTAGCAGTGCAGCCTCAGCAGTGGCTCCTTGTCAGTGCCCCTCAGTGCAGCCTATCAGTGCCCATCAGTGCAGCCTATTATTATTATACAGTATTTATATAGCGCCAAAAAGTTTGCTCAGCACTTTATAATATAGTGGGGGACAGTACATGAGACAATACTTTAACAAAACAATACACGAGGGGTTCGAGGGCCCTGCTCTTTTGAGTTTACAATCTAGGAGGGAGGGATTGTGGTATAGGAGGAAGTGGTTGTGGGGGGATGGAGTGGTAGGAGGAGTGGAGGAGATCGGCTGTTAGGTGAGGGTGGGGTAGGCTTCCCTGAAGAGATGGATTTTCAGCCTATCAGTGCAGCCTCATCAGTACCCTTTAGTGCAGCCTATCAGTGCCCATCAGTGCTGTATATCAGTGCCCATGAGTGCAGCCTCATCAGCGCACATCAGTGAAGGAGAAAAATGACCTGTTTGCAAAATTTTACAACAGAAACTAAGAAAAAAAAATTGTTTCAAAATTGTTGGTCTTTTTTAGTTTGTTGAGCAAAAAATAAAAAAAAACAGTGGTGATTAAATACAACCAAAAGAAAAATCTATATGTCTAAAAAAATGATACAAATATCATATGTGTACAGTGTAATAGTCATTCAACATGTGACAGCACTGAAAGCTGAAAATTTGCCTGGGCTGGAAGAGTGTGAAAGTGCCTGGTAGGCAGGTGGTTAAATAATAAATGTATAGATGTCCCTATCACTACAGAACCAAACTTATGGCACTTTATATCAGTAATACTCTGTGTAAACTGTCTGCATTCAACATGCCAGGTTACTCAATTAATAATATGTTACAAATGGAAATATGAGAATAACCGAATCTGAGATTATAAACAAGAGCTGACAAAATATGACAATAAAAATGGATCCTGGGACCTTCTCACACTGTCCTATACTGTATTTGCACTCTCCCCTGCAGCCGCAGCTCAATGACACAGGAGACGGATCTTGGGGAGCAAGTGACCAGACCAGAGCAGACTGAAAAGTAAGTATACACATATTTTTTTACACAGGGTAGGCAGGCTAGGTAGTAGAAGAGGGGATTGGATATTTTGTAAGAATAGTTAGTATTAGGCGGCAGCTTTAATCCTCTGGCCCTGGAATAAATGAGCATTCAATCATTTCAGTACGAGGAAAGGGGTGGGGGCACTGCAAGGGTAGATTTTTTTTTTTTTCATTTTCCGGGAGCTAGGCTTTAAGTAAGAACAAATTGTATAGAAATTTGAAGAAAATATGTTCAGTTAGTATTTGATGCTGAAAAAAGTATATTGAATCGGTGCGTGAAGAGTTTAAAACCATACAGAGAAAATAGGTAAGATAAATAGTGTAAGCATTAAAGAAAACAAAAACTGAAATAATGCCAGCTGGTTGGTACGGTATGATAAGTATTTCACTAAGAATTTCAACTCTTCAGCAGCTACTACTTGTGACCTCTATTCATTTTGCTTTGTCTGATTAAGAATACAATGCTTGCAAACACTCGGAGAACACCTGCAGATTCAGTACACTAAACAAATGTTTGTTCAGACCTTTAAGAAGCCCATTCTAAGACTGTGTCAAGCAAAGTTCAATTAAGTAAGATTGGAAAGAAAAATGTGATTCAAGGACACAAGCCCTGTCTGGAGGTTAAAGACGAAAGACTCTGACAGCTTCTTGTTTGAAATCTTTTTTCTTTACTGAATCAGTAAAGCTATAATAAATACACACTTTATGTGTCCAAATTGTCATTATCAAAGCACTGTGTGTAGGAGATTGTCAGAAGGCAGCCGGTATACTCAAGGGCATTTCAACGGTAAGTGTACTGACAACCAGATGGACTTGGTCAGCAGTGCAGTCATATACACAGAAGGAATGCCACAATAAAAATAAGAGACATTATACAAGTAAGCTGGGTCTTCCAGGTCCTTTTAAATGCAGCACTTCCATGTTTGGCTGGAGTGTAGCTTTACCTTCACCAGTTTTAAATTTATGTTTAACAACCACTCCAGAAGATTTAACCCCCTTCCTGACCAGACCATTTTTTGCGATACAGCATATTTTACCTGACAATTATGCGGCCATGTAATACTGTAACCAGATTAAATTTTTTGACATTTTTTTTCCAACAAATCACCACTGGGGTTTTTTTTTTTTGCGTTATAAACAAAAATAAAAATTGATACCAACTAGCACTTTATTGGAACCAGTTACACTAATACAGTGATCAGTGTTAAAATTATTCACTGACACTGTACTGATGACATAAGCTGGGAAGGGGTTAAACATCTAGGGAGATCAAGGGGTTGACTGTGTTCCTAGCTGTGCAATGTTTATTGTGTGAGGTGTTTTCAATAGGTAATGTGCAGGATTCTCTTTCCCTGCCTTGCAGGGAAAGAGAATCAAGAACATTGCCGCTCACAGGACACAACTCTGCCATGCTTACATAGACACAGCTGTGTTCTGTCAGTCTCCTAGACAATCGGTGGGTGCCGGCGCTCATCCACTGGCTGGCACCCGCTGATGGGCTTCTGCTGTGACCAATCACAGCAGAAGCGGTGCACCAGCTGAGTACACGCACACCCGCAACCAGGAAGTGCAGAATCACGTTTATACACGTGATTCTGCACAGCGTGGCCGCCCTGTAGAAATACATCTGCTATAGGGTGGTCGTCAAATGGTTAAAGTGGTTGTAAAGGCTCAAGGTTTTTTACCTTCATGCATTCTATTCTGCAGTGTCCCCAGCCTCCTCAATTATTACCTGAGCCCCATCGCGATCCATCGATGTGCACAACAGCCTTGACTGTCCAGGGTCTCTGCCTCTTCATTGCCTGAGACAGCAAGTGGGATCCATTGGCTCCCGCTGCTGTCAATCACAGCCAGTCAGCCAATTAGGAGAGAGAGGGGTAGGGCCAGGCCTGCATGAATGGACACATAGAACAGCGGCTTGAGAACAGCATGTTCGGGTGTCCCCTTAGCAAGCTGCTTGCTATGGGGGCACCCGACAGAAAGGAGGAGCCAGGAGCGCCGGCAGGGGACCCGAGATGAGGAGGATCCAAGCTCCACTGTGCAAAACCACTGCACGGAGCAGGTAAGTATAACATGTTTGTTATTTTACAAAAACACACTGTTTTATTTTATTTCTTTTAGAACTATAGTATTTTATAGCATAGTGCCTTGTACCCTGCTAAGAATTCCTCATAACATTCACATTATAGCATCAATGGCATTACCTCTGATACAAGGAGATGAGCTATGGAAAGCATGTGGTTAAGACTTGGGTTTATTCAATTAACTGTGGTAGAATCAAGGTACAGTAATCACCAAGTGATCTCATCAAGCAATGAGAATTAACTTTACTGAAGTCAGACTAATACAAGGATACTGATTGGCTACAGTGCTCCATAGGTGTTGTCGCCTGTTAGCCATCAAGTAATTGACTGAAAAACGTGCAACAACTAAGAAACACCTTATGTATTACCTTTAATGCATTCAGCTTTTCTTTATTATCCAGTGCAGGATTCACTCTAATCACACTTGCAGCCTGCTCCAGCCAGATGGTAAATTCATCATTTTTTTTTCTCCTGTATTCACTAAGTGCGGGATTCTCCTCTTTTAACCTTGTCATAAAATAAACAAAAAAATGGCAGAAAATCAACTGAGCACAACAAAACAACATACGCAATGTAGGTTTGATTCATGAAATATTTTATGTATCGCAAACAAAGAACTCTTAAAGTAGCACTAAATGTTCAGTATTTATATTTTTAAAAATAACAAACATTGCATACTTACTTGCTCTGTGCAATAGTTTTGCACAGAGAAGCCCTGATCATCCTCTTCTCAGGTCCGCCACCAGTGCTCCCGGCCCTTCCTCTTGCCGAGTGCCCCCAGAGCAAGCTGCTTACTCTGGAGACACCCGCCTGTGCTTGCTCCTGAGTCCTACTATGTGTGTTTCTGCCCATCCAACCCCCCTCCCTCTTCACTGGCTGTGACTGACAGTAGCAGAAGCCAGTGAGCGGGGGGAGTCGGGGGGAGAGAGAGACCAGGGACAGTCGCTGCTCCTGTGCACGGCACTGGATCAAGATGTGGCACGAGTAAGTGTTGGGGGGCTGCCTGTGCACAGCACTGGATCAAGATGGGGCACGAGTAAGTATTGGGGGCTGTGGGAGGAGCAGCACACAAAAAGTTTTTTACCTTCATGCACAGAATGCATAAAGGTAAAAAACATTTAGCTTTTACAACCACTTTAAAGTGGAACTGCACTGCATCTGAGCACCACAAACCAAAACTGCTATAAAATTCATTTTTAAATATTCAAAACAAACTCCACCATCCATGCATGTCTCCTTGCTTTATTTTGCTGAGAAATCATTTTGAAAAACAACTACTGGAAATTCTGGCAGTGGTCATCTTGAGTAAGGGCAGATGATTAATGTATCAGTAACTTCCTGGAATCCATCTGTCCTTAGCTCAGGCATTGGATGAGAACCCTCCCTCCCCTCCTGAAGACTCCTGGGATGTATGACATAAATTTGCTAAGGCATGGAAACCAGGAAGTAAATGAAGGAAGGCAAAAAAAAAGGTTAAAACAAGTAAATATGACATACTTTACTATCAATTTTTACTAATGCTAGGAAAATAAGGATTAGAAATAGTCCATGTTGATTGAGAGAGTGAAGTTCTGCTTTAACCATAGTAACCAAATTTGTTTTCAAATTTTGTACGTCCATTTGTAGAGTTAATTTGGTGACATTTGGCAACATTTTTAACACAGGCTATTGACTTCTATGGGGACCATTTCTAAACCACATATGTGTGAACAGGATATTCGAGAGCTAATCCTGTCCTAAACTTGATGTAAACCTGACATTAACTGGTGAACAACTACTGTATCAGTTAGCTGTGAAACCTGAGCTTCAATCCGCACTGCATATGTGTGAATCAGCTCTAAAGCATGCTTGATATACTCACTGTGGAACCTAAGAAGTTATTCCTCTGCATTGTGTAAAAACGATGCCTTTTCTGATCCTCTTCTTCTACTTTCCCCAATCCATCTACTGATAGTACAGAGCTCTAGGAGTCACTCTGCACATACTCAGTTTAGTGTGTATTGCTAGAGAATTTTTTTTCTTTGGGAGAGTGCATGTGACCAGCACAGAGCCAATCAACATTGTCCAGACAGAGGGTCAGGGGTTAAGCAGCCTCATAGGACAGTCAAAGCAGAAAGAAAACTCCTCCAACAAGCTTTAACCAGTGCTCAGCTGGATACTGATAGAAGTCACAAGACTGCTATATACTGCTAATGAGAAAAGGTATTTAGCAGTTTATATTTACCAAATTAATTGCATTTCCATGTTCTGTGTACTGTGGGAAACCAGATATAGTGAATGCAGGGTCCTGGGTTTAGTATCACTTTAAGCATTTGCTATATATAAATGTGTAATAGGAAGAGAAGCACGAAAAATATTTGAAACCAAGGGACAAAGGGCACATCAAATTGCTCAAATATTCACAGCTGGACTAGACAGTGGAAGCCCACAAATGCTATGCATATCAAAAATGACATACCTCTGTTGTCTTTCCATGACCACTGCCTTTATGGCACCCCAGCGTTTGTTCAGGCTCACCAGTTTCTCCTGTAAGATGGCTCCATCTGCAGAAGACAGATGCTGTATGATACCTTCCCCACTCTGGTTAAGAATGGTAAAGCTGAGCTGGTGACTGCCGACTCCTTCTTCGAGCTCCTGTGACAGTGAAGCAGAAGTCAAATAATTCTAACTTCATAGGCCTACTGGTCTCTGCCATACATATGTCTTTCTACACAATGGCAAATACATGCACAGATGTAAAATAATCTTCTTTAGCAAAGCTCTGTTTGCATTGCTGCACTGAAAAGTGTTTTGATCTGTTCAAACTGGTAAAGAAAAAATGACACCCATGAAATTAAGTTCAGTTTGAACTAAAACACAGAAATTCTCTTTATCTATTTGTAGCAATAATTAAACATTTAAGATATCACTTGCTTTGCTGAAATACAGCAACAACAAATTATAATATGCTTTCATAGTTTATAAGGAAAATAATATTTTATAAAGACAAAAAATGTATTTCTATATTGTCACTAAACTGCAGAACGTGATCTAGATTATTGTGGACATAGGCATCAACTAACTTTAGCTAAGGTAGAAATTCTTGCCTATCTTTGCTGTAGAAATGTCTCACACTGACATAAAATAACTGCTCAAAACGCAAGTAGAAAACATGTGCTGATCCAGTTAAATGAGCAATAACATATGGCAACCTGCTGGCACTGTAAGAAAATAATGATTGCTATTGCTTCTCTAGAGATTAGCTGGCATGGAGATGTTTTCATGACCCATCTTCCTTCTCATCCCATCAACATGAATGTTCGGGTGACTTGTGTTTAGACCTAAAGCTTTGCAGAAATACTTCTTAAAACCACTGGATCATGCATGAATGTCTATGCCCAGGCAATCATCCTTAGAAATATGTTGCCAAACGTACAGTATATGATCCAATTCCAGAACTTACTGCATATATTTAAATTCTATAGGAAGCAATAAGTGCTTGTTATTGCAGTTAACTTGCTGTGAGCAGCCTACACAATATTGGCCAAGTTGCACAAAAGATTGGGGCAGACACTCAGGAGTTTAGACTGCTGCTAACTGTTCTCAATAGAACATCTGCTCCCAAAAAGGCTGTATAGATGTGGAAGGGGAAAGCACTATCCTCTCTTTTAGCAGAGATTAAATGACCAAGTGCCTAGGATTCCATTTTACACTTAGAAAAACTGGAGTCTCCAGTTTTCTTCACTACTGGCCATATCTCTAGATTCTTAGAAAGGGGTCCCTGCACTCTCTAACAAAGATGAGGATCAGAGCTTAGACTGGTTCATCCTCATCTCTAGCAAAGATCAGGTGACCACATGCCTAAGGCTATAGAAATGAGCAGCGCAAGAGGGGACAGCACTTTCTCCATAACAGATAATAACTTCACTAACAGTCTACTGTTTATTTACCCCAACAAAACTGCTAACAAAACATTATGTTAACACTACTCATGAAGGCTTTGGTTCCTGCTTAGCAGTACTGCACAAAAGGCTCAATTTATAAAGCTAACAATATAAGGTTCCTTATGTTCCAAAAATTTGTTATTTTAAGATACAGCCAATAGATTAAAAAATGCAGACACATAAAAAAATGCTTATCCTGGAGTTAAAACTATTGAAATCAAGTCTAATAAAAGTTATTTTTTGGATTCTGCTATTTTAGAATGCTCAGACCAATAAAAACGTGTCATTCACTTGACAAGTGTGCTAACATGTACAGTAGATGGCCAGTAAAAGGAGCATCAATAAATCTGTACATGTGATTACCTTGTAAAATCAATCTATAGCTAGGTCTTTTTCCTGCTCCCATGATCTCCGGTCTGTTCTTTGTTGTATTGTGAATGTAAAATATCTCTGACTTCATCCAGCCATTTTGGTAGGAATAACCCTAGATTTAACTAAACAGCTTAAAGCAATTTTAAAGGTTCTTTTTTTTTTTTGGGAAAATAACAAACATGTCTATACTTTCCTGCTGTGTGCGGTGGTTTTGCACAGAGCAGCCTGGATCCTCCTCTTCTCGGGTCCCCCGCAGGCTCTCCTGGTCCCTCCCTCCTGTAGGGTGCCCCCACAGCAAGCAGCTTGCTATGGGGGCACCCACTGCTCCATGTGTCCATTCACACAAGCAGCTGTGGCTTGGCCCCACCCCTTCTCTCCCCTCATTGGCTGACTGGCTGTGATTGACAGCAGCAGCAGCCGCCAATGACTCCCGTTTGCTGTCTCAGCCAATGAGGAGGCAGAGACCCGAGACAGACAAGGCTGTCATTCACATCGCTGCATCGTGATGAGGCTCAGGTAAGTATTGAGGAGGCTGATGGCACAGCTGCACACGGAAGGTTTTCTACCTTCATGCATGAAGGTAAAAAACCTTCAGCCTTCACAACCACTTTAATGGATAAGCCACTGATGGTAAAGGACTGTAGTGCTACTACAGCTCACAGAAAAGTTTTATCATAAAAGCATGAAGCAAAAAATAAGCCTGCTTCTGCTGGACTATGCAAATAAGATATTTGGTCAAATTTCACATACCCGCTGATGCAGCTGTGCTTTTTCTAAATCCAAACCACCTCCTGGTGTTTGGGCCTGGGCTAATAAAGCCTCTGCTTCAATTGTCCATTGTGTGAGATCCTTGAGGTCACAATGGAACTGTCGCCACTCCTCCAGTGCTCTGTCAAAACGACTGGAAAAAAAAAAAACACAAACATTTAATATTGTACATGTTTACAGAGGTTTCCAAACAGTAGAAATGCCAACAACTGCTGGGTTGGGCTAAGGGAAAGTGAACATGTTGCTTTGCCCTCCAAGGATTTATCTATGCATTCTTTAGATATATTCCCAGGGAAACAGATTCATTTCAACTTTCTTTTCAAACATAGCAAAACGTATATACAGAAATAGGACTTTGGAACTCACTGCAAGATCCTTTTCTTGGGAGTATATTTGGGGGGCCAGGAAGTCATATACTGTCAAATTATACTGCCATCTACAGCACCTCAGATTTGCAGCAAAACAGTATCAAGAGCATGACCGTAAACTCAGAAGTTTCTATTTTCTTTCTCATTGAAGGCCACATGAAGTAATATACTGTTGGGCAGTCCAAAAGCAGTACAACTAAGAGGAGCAAACAATCTATAACAGACCAAACATCAGAAAGAACCAGGGACTGCATGCAGCTCAAGAGCTGTCTAAAGATGCCCAAAGCTGGCACTGGATGAGAGGCCGAACCAGCACCTGGAAAGAAGAGGACAAGACCAGGTGGGAAAAGCACAGGAGTCAAGCCTGATGCCAAATGACCAATAATACTCACACACCATGTGGGGAGCTCTAAACATGGACCATACCATGGAACTGGTCTAATTGATCTAACTAAGGAATGAAACAGAACAAATAATTTAGGGAAGGACTAACTGACTGCACGTGAACAAAATGGAGAAGGGATACCTCTCCAAGCCTGGAATAGGACAGAGGTACTGAAAATAATGTCCAGCTGATGAAAGATAAGAGATTCCCTAGGCTAGAGAAGGTTCTCAGCTCACCTAACCCCTAGTACCAAAGAAGAAGGGGATGCATAAGAACTGCCAGAGCAAACAGTCACCTCATCAGAGTGAGGGATGAACAGAAAGAATCCTGATAATGACTGATTCAGAGGCAACTCCCAAAGTGTGATTTTTGGTCCTTGCACATATTTAGAGAACCAAAAGCTTGATCCCTCTGAGTCAGGACTGGTCAATAGGGAAAGTACATAGAAGTTTCCTAAAAAAGGAGAAGACAGGTGATACCAGGTGGATCTCTTCACTGAATAACACAGAGGAATACAGATCGGATGTAGGAGGAACCACCTAGAAAGCAAGAGTTCTACAATGACAGGATCTTCCCAAAAGTTGGAAGATGAGTAATTAACAGCCCCAAAATGGAAGGCTGGATTATCAAGCCAAGGACTATCTCATCCTCAGAAAGACAAGCTCAGGAACTAAAACCACAATAGTAGAGGGAGGGCTAGTCTGATAAGAAATAGGATAAAAGGGGAGCCTTGAAGAGGGAGGCCCTCAATGCCCAACCCTACTGAACCAGTTAAGGAATGGGTAACTCCCTGACCAAGAGGAAAGGATCGCCGCTACTCACGACCACCCCAGGAGCCCTATGACTAAGCCCAGGTGGGCAGGGAAAAATGCATCAGGGTGTGTGGTTTGTTGGAAACATATAGGCTTAGGCAGTTCCCTATTGTTTATTCACCTGGGCTGGTTAGGAGTAGCAGAAATCCTTTCTGCTTTAAATATACTAGCCCTCTGGATTGGGCCCGCACCCCATGCGGGACACAGGGATATACTTTCACCTTTACTTTGAGTGGTGCCAAAAGTAATATAACAGGTCATAGTGAAGAACCATACTTCCAGGATTAATACTAGATGAAGCAAGATCCTGCCAAATCTTGGAAGCTGTAGTTCCATTATTCCCATTAGGGGAGAGTTGTCCACTAAGGCCCACAATGTCTGATCTCTCCACAGGAGGTAATCTGAGTGTACCACTGTAAGGAATGTCATAGATTGTTCAATTTTATTTCCTTCCACGACTAACTGTGTTGATGGGGGAAATCTCTCCTATTGTGTTCTGCCAACGGGGAGCCTTTCCACAATGATTAGTGTTGCTGGCTATAGCCAGTGGCAATAATCATTTGTGAAATACCAGATAGGCTTGTTGTACACAAGTCAACTGATAGAAATTAAAGAGATAAGACTGATGAGTCAGAGCCCTGATTGGCCAGTGTTCATCAAGTATAGCTCACAACTGATCTTGCAAGGTCAGATGATCCCTCTATGGATGGACAGGTGGACAGGAATGGTGGATCCTTTGGACACCAAGTTCAAATTGTGGCTTCACACAACCCTTGGGAGACAATCGAAAAGAGAATGATGGCCCGGGATGGGGCACAACTTCTGAAGCTTAACGGGTAGATGGATGGGTGGAGGTGGAGAGTGAGCAGATCCATTTGGAAAAGTGGGGGGCACATATTCATGCTGAAGATTTAGAATCAGACTTAGAGGGCCTAATTGTTCCTACTTCAGAAATAGGTTAAAAAAAAAAAGGGATGGGACTCAGCCAACCTTTTCTTTAGGCTTCTCGCACTGAAGAAGGTGAACATTCTGTCCTCCAGTGATTTCCTTGGTAAAAACATAAAAAGGTAGGACCCAAGAGATGTCATCTCTCAAAGACCAAAAAGATTCATGTGCTCCTTGGATACAGCATCTGCATACAGCTTCTTAACTCTGCACATTTGTATTGACAACAGGCCCATACGTGACCCAAACCTAGATTCTTCCAGTAGGCCATCAAAGCTGAAGCACAGGATTCCAGACATCTTTTTCAAACCCTTCATCAGGAAAAGGTCCACTGGTTCCTTTTGAGGGATTTAACTTATTCCACCACAGTTTGACAGATTAAGGGGGAAGACCACAGCCTACCAGTGAGAACTAGGTTTTAAAGAGGCATTGTAGCTACTGATAAGTAGAACCCTTGAAGGTATAAATGCCCTCTACTGGCCTATGTGGGTCACTGGCAGTGAGCGTTTAACAAATTTGCTTTGAATTCTTCAAAAACAATCTCACCTGAGAGAGACTGAGGAAACTCAGAATCTTAGTTAGACATGATGACTGTGCCTGGTGACTCAGACTTTATTAGGATCATAAGAAGATCAGAAATTGACTCTGCAGTGGAAGTGGGGGAACACACATACAGCCTCTGCAGTAGGCACTGGGTGAATCTGGCCACAAAGTCTTGTGTGAATGCAGAAAAGTCACACAAGAGAATTAGATTCATCCAGCAAAGCTAAGGAGGTACCCGATGAGGCAGACCCTAAAATCAAAGGAAAATAAGATTCCAGATTTTGGATGTCAGTGCCTTCAGAGGGGTACGAAAAGGCAGTATCCTGTGAAAAAAGCAGCATGATGGTCCAGTGGCCCATTTTCTGAAACATCATATTATAGAAGAATTTCCAGCACCAAACCTACTTGATTCCTCAAGTTTGTCTAATAGTAGGTCCCACCGCTGGTCACTATAGCTTCTCCTGCTGATCCCTAGTTACTGTAGCGAGGTAGGGGGTTGGTGGGAGGATACAACAAAAGCCAGTTACGCCTCACCCAGAAGAGTGGTATAGTATTGACTCCTGATGCTCTGCTTCAGAGCAAATTTCTAGCAAAAGGGCTGTCGGTAGGTGCTAGCTATAATGCTGCACTGTCCTGCCATTGTAATTCTGTTAACCCTTTAAACAGAGACATTTTAAAATGCTAAACAACAGTACAATAATTTGACTCTTTACTAATAGGTCCTTTTTTGTTCATCAAAACAGCAGTATCATATGATGCCATATATTAAATAAAGTCAATCATATTTCGTGATTAGTATTTTTTGTTATTATTCATCTTACCTTTTGCGATCACTGTACAATCTATTGATTCTATCCCACTCTGCATTCACCTGGGTGAGAGAATCTCCTATTTGTATGGCTTCAGGCCCTGATGCTTCCAAAATTACATCTGGCTGTTTTTCATGAATAGCTGCAATTTGCTCTCCCAGCTTATCCAGAGAATCTTTTATGTCCTACAAGACAGGAATATATATGTATGTCAAGATGCTTAACATGCATACTGTGAGCAGAATATCATTAACAAAAATAGAATGATGCTTTTTATTTCTTCTCTGAACAACCAATCACATGATGCTCTTGTTTGGGAAAGCAGAGAGATGCTAAGGAAGAATCATCCTTTTTTTTATTATTAATAAAGTGTTGCTAAACCCAGGACCCTGCATTCACTATATCGGTCTCCCACAGTACACAGAACATGGAAATGCAATTATTTTAGTAAACTGCTAAATACCTTTTCTCATCAGCAATTAGAGCAGTCTTGTGGCTTCTAGCAGTGTCCAGCCGAGCACTAGTTAATCTTGTAGGAGGAGTTTTCATTCTCCCCAATTGTCCTATGAGGCTGCATAACCCCTGACCCTCTGTCTGGACAGTGCTGAATGGCCCTGTGCTGATCACATGCACTTTCCCAAGAAAAAAGAAAAAGACACAACACAGACCAAACTGAGCATGTGCAGCTTACCCCTAAGGCTCTGTTCTATCAGCAGATGGATTTGGGACAGTAGAAGAAGGGGAGGATCAGGAAGACAGGATCAAACATCCTTTTTACACAATGTGGATGATTAACCCCTTAGGTTCCACAAGCATGCTTTTGATTTTGTTGCTAATGAATATGACATTTTATGCAAATGGTTTTGTTTTTTGTAATTTGGCACTTTTAAAATCCCATTAACACATAATTCTTTGTGATTTCTATTTTGAAGGGATGTGGTGCTCTTGAGCAACAGAAAACGTTTTATAAGTTATACCCCACGTATGTTTAAGAAATGAAAGACAGTCATGCAACTAATACAACTGCAATACTCACACCAGCAGCTGCACTGAACGCACAGATCCCAGGTGTGATTTGGAAGCAAAAGTGCTGATGTCCCAATTCATGAACATCACACTGTGTTTTGTTTTTTATTAAAACTTTATTGAAATATCACTTTCAATTAAGTTCTACTCACTGCAGCAGCATTGTGATGCAGTGGTTTGTGTGCAGCACTCTTCTTCACGGCACACCACAGCAACTGGTTTTAACAGGCCCAAAATCACAGAATAATAACAGTTATTACCGTCAGTAGTTCTTCCTGTACATTGAAATTCTCATATTCTCCACTGCTCAGCTCAGGTGCATTAAGCAAAAGCTCAGTATCTGCTATGGAAAGCAAGACTTTGTTTATCTCAACTAAGTAATCAGAGGGAAGAAATGAAGGCATGAATCCTGTAGAGATATTGCTGACATCCAGATGAGGTTCAGTGTTATCCTATAAAGAGATACAGGTTACCATTCTAGTTGTGATTCTCAGTAAAATAAGACTGCAGCGAATGCAAAATACAATACAAATGGAGCTCAGTATATTTAAATTAAATGAATAAACCGTGAGTCCTTGCCTAAAAGGAATGTATAGTTTTCAAGATAAATTAGCAATAATTTAGTTATGAAATATAGGTTACTTTAGACCAAGTCTCAAAGGCTTGCTGATTAACCTATAGTATTCAAATGATCACATCAGACTTTGTAACTCAAAGGGGCAAGATCCAGTCACCTTTTACATAAATGTTGTTTCATAATCAATCATTTAACATACACACATTAAATAAAATGCATTTTCACACAAACATTATTCACCTACTTTTGTACTTTTGGATATCATTCAGCCCAGAAGACTAAACACATCTTTTTTTTTCTATTTTTCTTTTTTAAAGAAGCAAGGGAACAATTTAGCAGTGACCATTGTAGCAACTGTAACATTTTGGATTTACCATTTATAGAGGTTCTAAACTTTCCATATTCTACTCAAAAGACAAAGGTTTTGGCTTTAGATACACTACAACCAATAGTCAAATATTGTAAACACATACTGAATGTACAGAAAGAATATCACTACAGTATATACAGGTATATAGTGTGAGAATGTTTGCAAACATGATATTCTTTAGAAGCCATTTCTTAAAGTAAAGTAAAATCACACTGCAACCAATCAAATTCTATCTTTTACTGGTCTGACTACATTAAACTGAAAACTGACCTTTACATTCCTTATTAATGTAGCCTTTAACGATTATATTTTTAACTGGTGAGTTTTGCCTTGGCTTTAACTTCAGTATTTATATTTTGTGCATGTGGACATATGTACTAAAAGTAACACAGTTTATTTCTTAAACATAAAATAATCCCGAATAACTTTACTGTCTTACTGGATAATAGGTGATGAATTCACAAGAACAGAGCTAAGAATACCAATGCCTGATGATACTTACCAGGATGGAATGTTGTGTTCCTAGATACATGGCAAACTGCTCTTCAATCTCCTCAAAGCGTTGCTTTAATTTCCCACCATCTATCTCTCCTTGAGAGTCATGCTGAAAATCACTGCTTCTTTTCTGCAGTGCAATGAACTCTTCTCGATGTTCTTCTACTTCTTTGAGTAACTCCTGTGATGAGGAGTCAGGCTTTACTAACGTTTACCATTTACTAATGGTGAGCAGACACATTAGTCACAGACTGATAAAAGTAGCAGTCATTATATAGAAAGAAAAACAGTGAGACAGAGTTCAGGTGAGATCGGGTGGTCTTTAGAGCTTAAGTGCAGACATCAGGCAGACGTTGGAGCTTAGCTGAAAAGAATGGGTGCTCAAGTGAAGAGATTAGGTGCACACATAAGGCAGACCTGAAAGTATAGGTTCAGAGATCAGGACGACCTGAATCTCAGATGTAGAGATCAGTTGGACCTGGGAACTCAGATGTAGAGGTCAGGTGGACATTTGAGCAAAGGAGAAGAGATCAGGCACAAGCAGAGATCAGTGGACTCTAGAAAACACTAGTAGATATCAGGCGAATTTTAGAATACAGGAGCAGAGATCAGGTAGACTTGAGAATGCAGGAGCAGACAACAGGTAGATTTTAGAACACAGTAGCAGAGATCAGATGGACTTTTATTTAAAATACACAACACTGACTTTAAAGCATAGCTTGAAAGATCATATGGCATTCAGAGAACAGGTGCAGAAATCAAGTGGAGTTTGGAATGAGAGCATAGATTAGGTGGTCTTTACAAGGTAAGTTCACCTTTACCAAAAAACGGACTATGTGATTTCTATAGCTAAGGAACATCCCGAGAGATTTAGGAAAACATGGGCATGCTGGAGTCATTTCAAATCCACTTCTACCTATCATCTAATAGTAAATGATCAATCTATATCCCCTGACTGAATGTCCTAATACAATGCTGTATCGGGAAATACCCGGATCACCGGGGACACTTTTATCACATGTAAGGATGGGCTGTAGGTCTATATCATGACATGCCTTACGGGGTTTTTGATCCACAGGTTACCCCACTGACCGATCTTGCACGTACCGTATTCTAAGTCTTATTACTACCTTCCTGGCTTGGCTAATACTTAGGGAAGTGATCCAATTTAACTTTATATTACCTATACATTCTACTGTCACTTAACCCCTTACTCCCCCCCCCCTCCAAATTATTATTTTTTTTTTCCTTCCCCTATATTCCCCCCCACCATCTCATCCTACATTTCTTTTTCTTACTGTTCTTCTTTCCGACCTCCTTTTTTTTCACACCTGTATTTATACCACCTTATCATTCATTCTTCACCAACCAAATAGAGCATTTACTTCCACAGAGATATGACTAACTGCAACTATATCATTCACTCAAGTTATAAATACATAAACCATGACTTTCACAGCATCCAAGGCTTTCCCTACCCTAATCTTCATATCACCTCATCATTAAAAATTGCTGATATTCAAGATGTGACAACATATACATACATCGATCCGCTTTCCTCTGCGTATCCACTGGTTTACATTGCATGCCTGACGTAATGTTCTACCCCATTTTGACTTGTATTACAATTTACAATATGTCCTGTCTGCGAAACGGGAGGCAACATGTCATGTTTATGTTCTGACTGTGATCTATAGCTGTATATGCTCTAGATCAGGGGTGGGCAAACTTTTTGACTTGAGGGCCGCAATGGGTTCATATATTGGACCCGGGGGCCGGACCAAGAGTAGATGAATGATGTGTATGTGTCATCCATAGTAAGTATAGTAATAATCCCCCCATAGTAAGCATAGTAATTAATCCCCAATATAGTAATTCATCCCCCCTATAGTAATTCATCTCCCATAGTAATTCATCCCCCATATAGTAATTCATCCCCCCATAGTAATTCATCCCCCATAGTAAACATAGTAATTAATCCCCCATATAGTAATTCATCCCCCATAGTAATTCATAATTAATCCCCCATATAGTAATTCATCCCCCATAGTAATTCATCCCCCATATAGTAATTCATCCCCCTTATAGTAATTCATCCCCCATAGTAATTCATCCCCCATATAGTAATTCATCCCCCATAGTAATTCATCCCCCATATAGTAATTCATCCCCCATAGTAATTCATCCCCCATATAGTAATTCATCTCCCATATAGTAATTCATCTCCCATATAGTAATTCATCCCCCATATAGTAATTCATCCCCCATAGTAATTCATCCCCCATAGTAATTCATCCCCCCTATAGTAATTCATCCCCCATACTAATTCATCCCCTATATAGTAATTCATCCCCCATATAGTAATTCATCCCCCCTATAGTAATTCATTCCCCATATTAAGTCCCCAAGTCCCCCCTGTGTCAATTCACTTACCTTTGCTCCGCGCGTTCCTCTCGCCGTGTTCCCGCGCCGTTCCGGTGTAGCATGAAAATCTGTCTCCTATGAAGATCTGTCCCCCTCGACGTATCTGCGCATGTGCCAGTTTCAGGCATTAGCAGCCGATCGGCGATCTCCGGCACATGCACAGATACGTCGAGGGGGACAGATCCTCATAGGAGACAGAATTTCATGCTACACCGGTCTTCAGGGCGGACTGTGAGAGGAGCCTAGCGGGAGCCTAGCTCCGCGGGCCGGATTAAAAGGTCAGCCGGGCCGTATACGGCCCGCGGGCCGTAGTTTGCCCATTGCTGCTCTAGATGCTATTTTGTTTCTTCTTATATCAATAAAGTATTTTTGAAACAAAAAAAAATGGACTATGCAGATAAGCGACATCTGTCCATAAAAACAAACTATGCAGCTTTGACTAATGTTCAATAATACCCTTGCTATAGGTGTAGGCCATTTACATACCTCTTGAAGCCTGACTGGAAAACTCCCAGGGCATTGCTAGGTGAGGCTTAGTCATTACTGTTCACCTCCACCATCACAGGAGTGAGCTCTCAGACGCTGAGCTCAGAGTTACTGCATCAGGGGAAAGAAAGAGCACATGAGGAGGTTTGAATCAGGGAAAGAGCTCACTCCTATGATGGACAAGGTGAGCAGTAAAGACTAGGCCTCTCTATTGGAAATGTCTCAGCAACATCCTAGGAGTATACTAGTCAGGCTTCAAGGGGAACATAAACGGCCTACACCTATAGCAAGGGTATTATTCAACTTTAGTAAGAGGTGCACATTTTTTTTTTTTTTCCAACAGGCATCCCTTACCTGCATAGGCAGTTTTTGTTAAAGGTGAACTAACCCTTAAAACCACTGAAGCAGAAATCAGGTGGACTTTAGAAGGCACAAGCAGAGGTCATTGGACTTTAAAACACACTAGTACATATCAGGTGTACTTTAAAATGCAGAAGCAGAGATCGGTTGGACTTCAGAATACAGAAGCAGAGATCCGGTGGACTTTAGAATGCATGAGCAGAAATCAGGTGGGCTTTAGATCCCAGAAATCTGGTGAACTTTTATTTAAAATGCTCAACACTTACTCTTGTACACGAATACAAAAAAAACTATACCTTTCAAGTATATACAGACAGACACCAAAACTAACTCACCTGAAGTTTCTTCTCATCCTCTGCATCCTGAAGGCCAGAAAGGCGATGCTCAGTCTCATTCATCCAGGAGAATAAGCGATCCTCCTGTTCATGCTGAGCAGTAGCTGGAGACAGCTTACTTTCTTGTCTTCTCCTAACCATTTGGAGTTCCTGAGTAACACCAAACATGGTTACAACAATGGACAGCATTCCCTGTATGAGCTATATATTATTATTTTTTGCAGGTAAAAAAAAAATGTGCATTTATTATTTTTTTCTGCAGGAGCCTGGAAAGCATTGCACCAGCAATCAGTAGACCACTGATGCCATGCAGGTCTCCTGCAGATCTGTCAGAATATCTGCTTGCTGTAATTCATTGAAAACTACAAGCCAACAGCTGCTAAGTCTGCTGGGACTTGTAGGCACTAATGCACAGAACTCTGTGACTGAGTGATGCGGACATGTGGGCGGAGACCTGCACTGCCCTGCTGTATTCAAATCTGACAGTACAGGGAAACTTCCCCCCGTACTATCTGTCAGAGGGAGGGGGGGCGGCGGGCGCGGATACAGCTATGGGAGCATGTTACATGTTCCACCCTAAAAATGGGCAGAACATGTAACATGTTCCAAAGGTGAACTTATCCTTTAAGGATACAAATATATCTTGTATTTAGTACTACAAGAAACATAAAAAATGTTGACAGAAAACATTCCCGTCAACTACTGATTATCATAGTACTTACTGGTAAATCTGGATTATGGCACTGTTCAGATTTCAAGCTATAATGTTTAACCAATAAGTATTTCTCACAGATAGAGACCAAATAATTGTAAATATAATCAGGTTGTGATCAAATGGCACAATCGTAGCATATTGTATAGTGAACTAACTAAAGGTTAAAATGGTAACAAAGGTATTGATCTAACTAAATTAGCAATGGGATAAAAACGCATTTGCAATAGAAAAGCAAAATTCCTTTTAGTCATCTTTAAGGGAATTTTACAGATATTACGAAATTTCAGCTTCCAAGAGTTTGTTATTCCCCAAGTTCTAGAAATTCTAGTCTGACCATGTATATTGGCAGACAAAAAAACTCAACATATAATAATTTCCACAATATGAACCAACAAAACTGTAAGTTCATCTTTGCATTTCAAAAAATGTAACACTATCGCAAACATAGAAACACATTTCAACCAAATATACAAAGTTTGTGGACAGCTGACCATCATGCCCATGAGCTTGTTGGACATCCCCTCCCAGAGATATTAATATGGAGAGCATATGCAAGGTCAAGTACCAAAAAGGTTTTCAATAAGGTTAAGGTAAGGGCCCGGTGCTACAAGCTGACTAGGTATGAGACATCTATTATTGACACACTATCACGGTTCATGCACATACAAGTGAATGGATGTAAACATGATGCTTTTTTTTACTGGCATTAACAAGATGCATCCAAAGTATCTGTTTGAAATGTGGAACTTTTTGCAAAATACATCTGATGCATTGGTGTTTACAAGAGTATGGCCGCGTACCGTCATTCATTGTATTGAAGGCTGTATGTGGCACATTCAGCTTTCTGATCACAGGAAATCAACAGGAGATTTATGCTAGGCATAGAAAAACAACTATTTTATTTTGTGTGCATTAGTCCTTAACAGTGAATTTCATACTAAATGGACAGTAGATCGTAAAGTGGCTCTAAAGGCTGTAGATTCTTCACCTTTATGCATTCTATGCATGAAGGTAAAACAACCTTCCGTGTGCAGCCCTCCACCAATACTTACAGTGGGGATCGAAAGTTTGGGCACCCCAGCTAAAAATTTGTATTAATGTGCATAAAGAAGCCAAGGAAAGATGGAAAAAATCTCCAAAAGGCATCAAATTACAGATTAGACATTCTTATAATATGTCAACAAAAGTTAGGTTTTATTTCCATCATTTACACTTTCAAAATAACAGAAAACAAAGAAATGGCGTCTGCAAAAGTTTGGGCACCCTGCAGAATGTATAGCATGCACTGCCCCCTTTGCAAAGCTGAGACCTGCCAGTGTCATGGATTGTTCTCAATCATCATCTGGGAAGACCAAGTGATGTCAATCTCAAAGGTTTTAAATGTCCAGACTCATCTGACCTTGCTCCAACAATCAGCACCATGGGTTCTTCTAAGCAGTTGTCTAGAAAACTGAAACTGAAAATAGTTGACGCTCACAAAGCTGGAGAAGGCTATAAGAAGATAGCAAAGCGTTTTCAGATGTCAATATCATCTGTTCGGAATGTAATTAAGAAATGGCAGTCATCAGGAACAGTGGAAGTTAAAGCAAGATCTGGAAGACCAAGAAAAATATCAGACAGAACAGCTCGCAGGATTGTGAGAAAAACAATTCAAAACCCACGTTTGACTGCACGATCCCTCCAGAAAGATCTGGCAGACACTGGAGTTGTGGTACACTATTCCACTATAAAGAGATACTTGTACAAATATGGTCTTCATGGAAGAGTCATCAGAAGAAAACTCTTCTACGTCCTCACCACAAAAAATCATCGTTTGAACTTTGCAAATGAACATATAGACAAGCCTGATGCATTTTGGAAACAAATTCTGTGGACCGATGAGGTTAAAATTGAACTTTTTGGCTGGAATGAGCAAAGGTACGTTTGGAGAAGAAGGGGCACAGAATTTAATGAAAAGAACCTCTGTCCAACTGTTAAGCATGGGGTTGGATCAATCATGCTTTGGGGTTGTGTTGCAGCCAGTGGCACAGGGAACATCTCACGAGTAGAAGGAAAAATGGATTCAATAAAATTTCAGCAAATTTTGGATGGTAACTTGATGCAATCTGTGAAAAAGTTGAAGTTAAAGAGAAGATGGCTTCTACAAATGGATAATGATCCTAAACACACCTTGAAATCCACGGGGGATTACATCAAGAGGCGTAAACTGAAGGTTTTGCCATGGCCTTCACAATCTCCTGACCTCAACATAATTGAAAATCTATGGATAGACCTTAAAAGAGCAGTGTGTGACAGACAGGCCAGAAATCTCAAAGAACTGGAAGACTTTTGTAAGGAAGAATAGGCAAAGATACCTCAAACAAGAATTGAAAGACTCTTGGCTGGCTACAAAAAGCATTTACAAGCTGTAATACTTGCCAAAGGGGGCAGTACAAGATATTAACTCTGCAGGGTGCCCAAACTTTTGCAGACGCCATTTTTTTGTTTTCTGTTATTTTGAACAATTATTTGGAAAAAAAATCTAATTTTTGTTGACATATTATACAAATGTCTAATCTGTAATTTGATGCCTTTTGGAGATTTTTCCATCTTTCCTTGGCTTCTTTATGCACATTAATACAACTTTTTAGCTGGGGTGCCCAAACTTTTGATCCCCACTGTACACCCTAAATAAAGGTAGCCTTTAATTTTGTAAGGAAAAATGAAAATTTACCTCTAATAAAAATATCTGTTAAAAAAAAAAAAAACTAGGCATGATTGTTCTTTTACAATCTGCATAAAATATTTCTGATTTTGTCTCTTTGCCTCTTGAGCCTCAAAGAATGAAAGCTTCCTGTGGCAATGTGAGAAAGCAGGGATGCATCTTGCACGAGCCAGTTCACTGGAAAATTAGATCCAAAAGAACCTATCTTGGTAAATGTTTAGCCTTTGAGGCACAGGGGCTGTAATAAAAAGCAGTAAAATAAACCATACTCATTGCAATCAAAAAACAACTACGTTAGGAGAAACACTGTAACTGGGATTTCAAGCGCGCTCTGTTAATAACCCTAAAAACTAAAACACCCCAAACAAAGCATGAAACAGAATAATGTTTGATTCCAACCTTAACACTATTGTATCTTGTCTGTAAGAGCAGCAGCTCCAGTTGCATTTTCTCTCTCTGATTGTCATCCATTGGCTGCTGCAGCAGCTGTTCACCTCTGCATAGAATGTCTTCAATACGAGGCTTTTCGTCATCAATCTAATTAGATGAAATACAGGTGATATAATAAATCTGTTTTCATATAAATATGGAATGAATTACTTAAACAAGCAGAGCCTCTGAAGGACCCATATTTTCTTGGGACCACCATACATTGGCCAACTAGTTTAAATTCAAATGATGTAATCAGTGTTAAAAGAGGTTCAGGCATTGTAGTGGCGTAATGATAAAAATCAATGCCAACTATTTAAATTAAAACTTCTTCACATTTTTTTAAAACAAAATAAAAATATATTGCATAGTGTAACATACATCACTGCTCTACAAACTGTGATTTCCCTTTCAGTTTACAGCTACTGTAATTTTTGAAAACTGTAAAAAAAAAAAAATCAATGTAGCATAATTTTAGTATGGAAACCTGGAGACATTCTGTACACTCATGATGTACATTATGCCTGCTAAAGTATTTCTTCCTGTGGGTGTGATTGGTTCACTGCTTTTCTCAGAAGTCTGCACTGAGATAAAAGATCAATCTTAGGCAAGATCATGATACTACACAAGACACTACATCACTGCTCATTAGAATATTGAGTTTTGCTCACATGGTTAAGTGGTTATAAGGACAGCAGAACTTCTCATTCACAAATTAGTCTGCTAAAAGGCATGGTGAGGACGCATTCACAGCACATTGTGTATGCTGACAGATTCCCTGCCCCACCTTTAATTTCCCTACATAAAGTTTTATGTAGCTGCCAGGGTAAAAAAAGAAGGTAACTACAATGGAGTGTCAGTTGGTTAATAACTTTGAACCTGGCAGGGCTGCTGAGATCACAACCAAGGTAATGGTGACCTGTAGCAATCCCAGGGCTTTTGGGTGTATACCAATAACAAAGGCTTTTACAGTTAAACAGCATGGGTTAAATACATTAAATGCACATATAATCTTATAGGAAGATTTCTGTTCAAATTATTATTCTGGTGACCAGGTGTCTTTAAAGATGAAAGCTGAAAAGCCAGAGGAACTTTAAAATGTATCTATCATAGTTGTGCCCCCCTTTGCTTTGCCAAAATAAGAGGAAATTCATGCAGATACATTGAATGTGTTGATCTGGGACAGCTGAATAACATGTCACCAAGAAGGTTATTACCTACCAGTGTGATTGGATCACTGCTTTTCTACACTGACACAAGGTTAATTTTAGGCATCCTCAGCAACAGCAGTCCTATTTTTGGTGAGAAAGGCCTGTCCTCTTCTAATATTTCCTCATTAGAATATTGAAAATCCCTTCAAGTGGTTATAATGAAGGCAGATCAGTAGTCAATAAGAGAAGTCATGCAGATTCAGCAGTGATCTGGGACAGCTGTTTTATCTGCCTTCTGTGGTATGGGCAGCCTACCTATCAGAATACACTGGTCAGTGCTGTCGGCTATAGCCTACGACACTGATCAAGCAACATTTATCCAATAGACAGTAGATCGACTTCTGTACAACCACTGTTCCAATACATGAATTAAAATTCATCCAGTCCCTACTGAACTGGCTAAATTTAGATCCAGGTATGACCAGCTTGAGCAACTCCCCACAGCACTCCTAAATTGTAATCCACTAGTAATGGGTTGTATTGGTGCCCCATATGGAAGTGACAGCACTACCAGTAAGTCCTTTTTTTAAGTCATTTCCAGCAGGTACAGGTCACATTACAATCAGAATACCCTTTTGAGGCTAAACAAGGTATAAATGACCTTTGGTCTTGTAGGATTCCTATATTGTTCCAGAGTATTCAAAGACATGAGATTACAATTTCAACAATAAAAATTACAATGGGCCAACCATTTTTGCCCTAAACGAACATGCTTGTGTGCATCACCCAAGGTCTCTGACCTGGTGCTGTCAGAAGGAACTAAAGATTGGGCAGATCAGAAAAACAACCCAGGAACATTCCAGAATGAGTACAGGCACAACAAGGAAGATTTGGACAAGCAGATAAAACTGCTAAAGCTGGCAGGGGGGCTCAGTGGCTGGGAAAATTACCATAATTGTAAGTTTAAACTTCAAGGTGGCAATAAACAGACACATTTTTGGGAAGAATCAATAAAACTACAAGAAACATTTAAAGAATACATCACTGCATAATTCTAAGCACAAAAACAATGGGATAAATTAGTCAAAATAACTTTACACCTTTTTGTAAGATCATTCTCTGCATATGAACATAAGCTATGGGTTCAAGAGAAATTTTTAAAATGACTGATCACTCCAAAATCGGCCATGTCACACAAAATATGTTTCTATCATTTAGTTACTTACAATCATGTCACTGAGGAATATTCATTGAATCTCTTAGACATCTTTGTTGAAACTTTCCCAAATGTAGCCTATGTATGGTTGGCCTTAAAAAAAACCAGTATATGGTTTTGCATGCCATATGAAAGCAACCAACACCACAGTCCAGTGTAAGCCCATGGAGATACCAAATTTCCCCGCAGCCAATGTTAGTCAATCTGCAGGGGAACTTGTGCTGCACTCAAAAATTAATTTGTTCTATTTATGGTTTTTGTTCTCACTTTTTCACTCTCTGTAGGTGATTGTAGACACCTCTCCAGAACCTTTTGGGCAACAAGAAGCTCAGACTCAAAAACGTCAAGTTCAACAGCTGTGTCTTCAATAGGTACAGATTCTTCTCCTGGACTTTGTGCTAGGGCATCATGACTCACAAGCACCTAGATAGGACAAAAGAGAATAAACAAAAGCATCCTACACATAAAGATTATTTTAACAAGACCCGCATCAGACTGCTTTATCAAATTTATGAACTGAACTTACTGACCCCGTTCAATTTCATTCCACTAAAGGATTTATGTTATACATACAGTAGGTGGTAAGTAACAGAATGATTAGTTTAACATTAGACATTTAGCTACAGCTAGGTACGCAAAACATAACTACTTAAAAGAGAAGTAGGGCTCACTGGAGCACTGGGCTATGGAGGGGGAGGGAGAGGCTGGTTCAGGCTCTCAGCAGCTCGCTGAAAGGCTGAGCAAGGTGCCACTCCAGACTCTGGGATGGATCCTGACTTTCACCACTTACCCTCCAGAAGATTTACCCTCCTCCCAGACCAGGCCATTTTTTGCGATACGGAGCTGCGTTACTTTACCTTACAACTGCACAGTCATGCAGCACTGTACCCAAATTAAATTTATGTCCCACAAATAGAGTTTTCTTTTGGTGGTATTTGATCACATCTGCGGTTTTTTACTTTTTCTGTTTTAAACAAAGTAAAGACTGACAATTTTGAAAAATAAACAATATTTTTTATTTTCTATTATAAAACATCCAATAAAAACATTTTAAAAATCTAATTTCTTCATAAATTTAGGCCAAAATGTATTCTGCTACTATTTTTGGTAAAAACAAATCTCAATAAGTGTATATTAATTAGTTTGCTCAAAAGTTATAGCATCTGCAAACTATGAGATATATGCTGGAGTTTTTTTTATTTTTTATACTTGTAAACGTAGAATAAGCAACTTATAGTGGGACTGCAATATTGCAGTGGACATTTTACACTATCTGACACTTTGTGGAAACCAGTGACACTAATACAGTGATCACTTCTAGAAATATACACTGATTCCTGTACTAATGACACTAGTTGGGAAGGGGTTACCATCTAAGGTGGTCAAAGGGTTAAGTGTGTGCGTAGCTACAGTATGTGCCTGATGTACACTAGGTGGTGCTGCAATAAGAGGAAGTGATGGATTGTGTTCCAAGCTCTGCAGGGACACGCGATCGATCACTCCCTCTTGTCACTACAGAGTTGTGTGTATGTAAACATGGGTACAGCTCTGTTCTTTCTCCCTGTCCGACAATCTGTGGGTGCTGGCGAACATCTGTTTTCTGGAACTTTCAGATCGGCTTCTGCTGTGACAGTTCACAGCAGAAGCAATCCGCCGGCGGCGTGCGCATGCCCCCATAAGATAAAAGTTATATATATGATTTTGCACAGGAGAGCCGCCCTGTAGCAGGAAACTGCTAAAGGGTGGGGGTAAAGCAGTTAAAGTCTGGATCCCTCCCCAGCCTAGACTGGCTGAGTGACGGACTTAAGTCCACTGTCTGCTGAAAACAGGTCACAGAAGAGCAAAGCAAACTGCACTCCCGTGATCCACAGGAGAAGTACAACCAAATGAGCTTTCTCTGTACTTCTCCTTTAATGAGAAATTATTACTGTTTCTAAAAGCAAAATTTTCATCAGAAATGTAACAGTAAACTGAATTTCTGCTATTCTGCCAAGCTAGCTTACTTCACACTTTCCACAAGGGATACGGCATATATTGTCTGACAGCTCCATAAAAAAGTAACTACCACTTTATAATGTATAAGATTAAGTACATAACAGAGGTCCATTTTATTAGTATCACAAGCCTTTAATCCAGTCATAGCTCTGCTTTGTTATAGGCCCTGGTAAAGATATAAGAATCACTCTCAGTGCAGAAAAAAATGGAAAAATGGATCAGTGATAGTGTGAATTTATGTAAAGGAAAACATTGAGATCAATTAGGTCAATTTGACACCAAACAGCATGAAGTATAGGCAGAAGACCAGCTGCTTTGTTTGAGCCCCCAAGCCCCTAAATTTCACAAACTATATAAGTACTAGAAGGGTGCTCAATATAAGGGCATGTATCCTACAGGCTGTTATACACATAAGGCTAAGTTTACCTTTAAAATAAATAAATAGATAAATGCACATATTGTTAGAGGTAAAATTGTGTGCATTTATTATTTGTTTTCTCAGTAGCCTCTCAGTGCAATGTAACGCTCCTGCATTTTCCTCTTAAAGCTACACAGGGCTGTCAGTTTTAGATCTGCAGAAAGAGTGAATGAACTTTGAGGGCACTCATCAACACCCTCGCAGTCCATTGAAAACTACTAGCCATTTGCTATGGTGGATGATGTTTATTTTCTCACAGATAGCTGATTTTAAAATGCAGGAAAGCGAAAAGGGGGAGCAGAGGGGATGAGGGGGCTGCTGCATAATAACATGTTACGTGTTACATCCTAAACACGGATGTAACATGTAACACGTTGCTAAGGGTCACCTTATCCTTTAAACACTTCTAGTTATCTAGAGCTCCAAGATCAGACTGGATTAATGTACAGGAAGGGGAGTAAACATTTTAAAAAGTACTGTAGATAGCAGTGGTGAAGTACAAATTCAGTAACCCATAACAAAGGAAGAGCGGAAAACTCTTTAATAAGGTAGTGCAGATAGCAGTGATTAAGTACACATATAGTAACCCATAACACACAATCACATTAGCGAAAGATAAATTGCAGTCAGTTGAGTTCAGCTGATATGGTTACTGAGCTTTGTTGTTTGCCTAATTAAATTAGTCCAATTAGGATTAATTACCTAAAATGGATGAGTTATGATAATTGTATTAGTTAGCTAGCCCTAAGATAATTTTTGCCTAAAAATGTTCATTTTGAGCACAGATAAGTGCGAAATCTTTTATTTGTTCGCATGATATTGGCATTTAAATGTGCAAAAGACTTATTATTTTCTATGAACTGTTACAATATTTCAGTAAAATATGGTTTTATTACCACCTCTCAGCTCTCTTGGTCTGCACAACAGACACCTTACTGTACCATAACTTGTGTGATAATAATTGTGAGCTGACTTTTTGCTAAAGTCCTCAAAAAGTATGTGCTAAACACACCTGATTCGGCAATAAATGCCTTTAGCAAACTGAAAAATCCATTTTTGGATACAAAACAGTGAATAAGCTGCAGTGACAAAAATAATACATGCATTAGGCACTTATGAAAGTTTTTTATTTCATAACTGGATGCCAATGGAGAGATATAAAAGAATTAAGAGAATAAAGGGGAGGTCTCCTCTAGGAACAACTGTCACCAGAAAAAAAACACTACATTGGAAGAGTTCCCCTCACCTCCTATTCCATTGACAACTGTCAAATTTTAGATTTCCTGTTACTTTCTGTCCTATTGACGGCTATAAAAAATGGACAGGAATTTTAAGAAAAGATTGACTTTACAACTGTACCTTTCATAAACCTACTCTTAACCCAACCTTTGTCCATGCTGAACAACTAATCTGGACTAAACACCCCACCCTAGCTTCTTGCTTAGGTAGCACAGTCTATTTCCACTAGACTGTTTACTGTATCTTCAGCAGAAGTCCTCTTCAGCACTGTCCACTTCTGGATAGTGAGCGATCATAGACTTGTATTGGACCATACTCTGAGAATGGAGATGTTGGTAGTATGAGGGCTTACTGTGCAGCACTGAAGAGAACTTCTACTGGTGGTGCAGTAAACCGATAAACATCATATAGTTGTGCGAGAGTTGAGCAAAAGGCTTGGGTAGAGGTTTTTAGTCCAGGTTAGTGCTAAAGAAGGTTTCACTAATGGTACAGTTGCCCTTATTTCTTCACTTACAAGCACTTTGGTACAGGAACAAATACCATAACTGACAAAATCTGAAAAACCTAAGCCGTAAAAGAAGCCTTCAAAAGGGACAGTTATCTGTTGGTTGTACTTTGATTCACACTGAACTTTCCTATTGTTTGTGTCGATCGGCTTTATCCGTGTGAGATGGGTTTGAATTCCTATACAAGTCTATGGGAATGTGAAACCCGCCTGAAGTCGGTGGAATGCAGGTCAGGTGGTGGTCAGCTTCAGGTCAAATGCACCCATCAATGAATTCTGAATGATCTCAGAGGTGTCTCAGCTTGATTTGAAACTTATGCCACTGACAAACACCCAAAGACTGTCATGACCATTATGCCAGTGACCATTACAAAGTTTTCTACTAGTCTCTGTATTCCACAATTATTTATTAATCTTACATTATGGAAGCTCCGCAAGAAGAGTAGCTCTCTATTTTGACTTTAAAATGGCCGAGCTTAGGAAGGAAATAAGCCAGTGGGTTGCTCAACCCACTAATGTACACCCATAATAATTATATGCATTTTGAGTGGACTTGTTGTCAAAGCATCCTTATTTTGCAGCACAAGAGTAGTTACACTTAAAGTGGTTCTAAGGTAGAAGATTTTTTATCCTGATGCATTCTCTGCATTAAGGTAAAAAAAACCTTCCTTATGAAGCTCCTCCCCAAGCCCCCCATTATGCTAACCTGAGCTCAACCTTGAACCAGCGATGTGCCTGAGAGCAGTTCTCTCTCTCCTCACTGTCCATGGGAGACAGTAGCAGGAGCCAAAGACTGTCAATCACAGCCTGTGAAGAGGGAGCAGGGGGCAGGGCCGAGCATACACAGCACAGTTTGGGATCGAGCCCACATGAGTGCCACCATAGAAAATGGCTTGCTATGGGGGCACTCAGAAGGGAGGAGGAGCCAAGAGCACCAGTTAGGGACCCGAGAAGGAGGATCATGGTTGCTCTGTGCAAAACCATTGAACAGAGCAGGTAAGTATATCATGTTTGTTATTTTTTAAAAAATCACTTTACAACCACTTTAGTGATCTACAATTCTTCATTATAAAACATAAGCATATATCTTATAAACTGTAACATGTTCTCTTTTAACACTTATGAATTGTTTCTATGCCTGTAATAATAATAACCATGGTTTAAAGACAGAAAGTAAGATATGTCTGCATTACTACAAATCATTCTGTAACCATTCTGATCACTGGCATGCATTATTGTTACCTTGGCAGCCTTTATGTGTTGAGAGACTTTCTCAAAGTTGCGGTTCAGTTCAGCCAGCTTTGGTTCTACCAATTCACGACAAGAATTACCACGACTGTTCATAAGAATTATGGCCTGGTCACGAACATTATCCACTCTGAGACTGACGTCATCAAGCTCTGACAGCAGGCGCTGAAAATAAACACCATAAATGACAATTATCTATATATTCTGAAACACACTCTTGTAAGTATGTTGCATTAATGTCAGTTAGCAACCTGAAATATTCAAATAAATTAAAGGTATCTGAATCTATATCAAATGCTTAAGGATCAGATAGGTTAATATATTAAAATAACCAATTTTGAAAGAGGATCTGTCATGACAGATTCATCCATGAGTCACATCCTTTGCTGTGAAGTTTAATAAGTTGCTCCACTGTTACTGTTATTTATGTAGCACTTTACATATAATAAATTCACGTCAGTCCCTGCCTTCAAGAAGCTTCAATTCTAAAGTCCCTATCTCATGCATGAATACACATACTAGGGCCAATTTAGACAGGATCCAGTTACCTACCAGTATGTCTTTGGAGTGTGCAAGGAAACCCACTCAAGCACAAGGAGAACAGAAGGAGGGAAACTCCCATATTTGAATTTGCGCTGGTCATTTGGGGAGCAAAGCTTTCAGAAACCTGAGCAGGAAGATGGAATCACTAAAACATACAGTGCTCAGCATAAATGAGTACACCCCTTTTGAAAAGTAAGATTTTAATCAATATCTCAATGAACACAAGAACAATTTCCAAAATTTTGACAAAACTGAGTTTTATAGAACATTTGTTTAGCTCATTACATGAAAGTAAGGTAAGGTTTATAATATAACAAAAACTACTCCATCTAGTATTTTGTATGTCCACCATGATTTGCAAGGACAGCACCAAGTCTTCTCGGCATGGAATGAACAAATTGGCAACATATTGCAACATCTATCTTTTCCATTCTTTAAGAACGACCTCTTTGAGGGCCTGGATGCTGGATGGCGAGTGATGCTCAACTTGTCTCTTCAGAATTCCCCATAGGTGTTCGATTGGGTTCAGATCAGGAGACATACTTGGCCAGTGAATCACTTTCACCCTGTTCTTCTTCAGAAATGCAACAGTGGCCTTAGATGTGTGTTTTGGATCATTGTCATGTTGGAAAATTGCACGACAACCAAGGGCACGGAGTGATGGTAGCATCTTCTCTTTCAATATAAAGCAGCACATCTGTGAATTCATGATGCCATGTTTCACTGTAGGCACCATCCATTTTTCTTTGTACATCTCACTTTTGTGAAGCCATACAGTTTTGAAGCCATCAGTTCCAAAAACATTTATCTTGGTCTCATCACTCCAGAGTCCCAGTAGTCTTCTTTCTTTTTCAGCATGGGAGCTGGCAAATTCTAGACAGGCTTTTTTGTGTATGGGCTTTACGAGGCTTCCTTTGTGGAAAACACCTATGCATGCCATTCCTCTGCAGTGTATGCCCTATTGTGTCACGGGAACAATCACCCCAGTTTGGCTTTCTACTTCTTTAGCTAACTGCAGTGAACTTATGTGGCGATTTTCTTCAACCCTTCTCATCAGAAGACGCTCCTGTTGAGGTGTTAACTTCCGTGGATGGCCTGGACTGAACGTCTTTGTGAGATGGTTGCAATTCCTTGTTTGTTAAATGTTTTTATCACTTTTGCTACAGTATTCTGACTGATAGGTAAAGCTTTGCTGATCTTCTTTTAGCCTTCACCTTATTTGCATAAAGACATTTTTTCTTTCTCAGGCCTTGTGACATTTCTCTTCCATGTGGTGGCATTGCTGACAGCATGAAATGGGAAGGGGTTTTCTTTGTTAATTAACTCCCTTTTATAATCAACTGTCTGCTGGCCACCTGCTTAATGAATAATTAGACTCACCTGTAGTTGAATTCTTGGTCATTAGGATTTTTTTGTCTAAAATATAGCTTTGCTCCTATGAATTTAATTGGGGTGTATTCATTTTTGCAACATGGTCTTGAATGAATTTGTTACGAAAAATACTTTTTTCGTGTGTGCAAATTAACAAATCTTGTTTGCAGTCAATGGCCCGCATTGGTGGGAGTATATTGTAGTATAGTGTCCCATAGAAAATGTTGATTCTGAAAGGAAAGTAAAAGTTTTCTGACAAATCTGTTGAGGTGTACTCATTTATGCTGAGCACTGTATGTGAAGCCATTGTGTGAATCAAATCAACAGCATATATTCAAAAAGATGATGTCTCTATTATTTGGTCTTAAATTCTAACATCGGGGTTGATTTAATTAAACTGTAGAGTGCAAAATCTGGTGCAGCTCTGCATAGAAACCAGAGCTGCACCAGATTTTGCACTCTCCAGTTTTAGTATTTCACCCCCTTTGTCTCTTTAGTAGAATTGTAAAATGAATCCAGAGCTGATTCACACATGTGCGGTGCGGATTGAAGCTCAGCTTTCAAAGCTAATTGATACAGTAGTTGTTCACAGGTTCATGATAGATTTACATCAGGTTCAGGACAGGATTAGCTCAGGGTCTTATCCTGTTCACACATACTGTATGTGGATTAAAAACGGCTCCCACAGAATTCAATAGCCTGTAATCCACACCTGAACCAGACCGCACTGCTCAGAAAGCGGACATGACTCTTTTTAAAACCGCACTAAATCCGCACTGCCAGTGCACCTGACATATGTAATCAGGCACCATAGGAAGCAATGTTTTTCCACATGTCATGTGGATTGGATGCGGTTCCAATCCACATATAAGTGAATGGGAACTAAGATGGCCATACACATTACAACCTTTTTGTACAATCTCTTTTAAATTTGCTAACACTACGTAAACACAATTTTCAGGTTATCAGTCAGGCCCTTGTACTACTTAATTGTGTATATATTTAAACGATTTTACAATCAGAAACAATTATAATATTGCGCATTAAAAATGTGCATCATTCCCCTAAACACCACACATGCATTATACACTAAAACTTCAAGTATTTAGCAGATATTGGACTTTAATACCTATTCACTTTCATTCATGTGACAATAATATCATGGTACAGTAATCCTGATTTAGAACATCACTGGTAACAGTAATAACTGGTGTTCTTCTATACAAGACTAATATAAATGAGGCTGCTGCTATTTTGCTGCTCGGACATAGAATCTATCCAAGCTATCTGCATATTACTCATAGCCTCATTTATAACCACAGATGCAGAAACTTGCAGGCCAAGTTTAAAAAGCTTAAGAAAATTAGTTCTGGTTTACAAGAAGTCATCCAAAAGTAGTCAATGGCCACAAGACAGGCCAAACGACATGCAGGTCATTCAGAATTCAGTGTAAGTGAAACACTACCTTCACAGTTTCTTCTTTCTTGACAACTGGCTTTTTCTCAATCTCATCAAGGAGGGCTTCTGCTTGGTAGAGCCAAGTGCTTATGTGAGCAACATTCTCATCGAAAATCTCCATCTGACTCTGGTGATTCTAACAAAAGACAGAGATGGGGCATTGGCAGAAAGCAGTTAAGTGAATGGCCATTAATACTTGTTAATTACCAGAGGTGGCACTGAATGGTGACATTAGAGAATGGTCCAGAATTTAGGACACACATAAAATGGGGAAGACAGTATAATAAAACAACTGGTCATTAAAAATGCATGGCATGACAGTGACTCTTTGAATATGTCATAACTAGTATCCCTGGTTCTCATGCGATTTCAAAGTGGTGCAATTTGGTCCCATTTAAAGCGCGACTTCAAAGTAGTGCTGATATAGATACAGGTGCGATTTTAGTGTCCTTTACCTTATAGTCTAGAAGAGTTACATCACACTGAAGTGGTGAAAGAGTAATGCAGGAACTATTTTTTCAAATTGCGCTACTTGAAATTGCACCTATTAAGACAGTGCCATAGAAATACATTAGATGCGACTTCAGGTGCGATTTGTAAATCGTATGTTGCACCTGAAGTCACAGCGGTGTAAACCAGGGCTTACTGGCAAACCTGAAATTAACAAACAAAAAATTAAATATATAAAATATAACTTCACAAGAATTTTCTAAAGAACAAACAATACAAATTATACAACATCCTGTAAGGATGGTGAAGCAGCAGTGAAATAAACAAAGCACTGATCTCCTTTACTCTCCTGAAATTACTCTTTTAGGAAACCCAAAAATTAGGTTTCACATATATCAAAGGAGAACAAAAATGTGAAAAAAATGTGTGCAATTACCAAAATCTGGATGCTGATATTTTATGGCGCCAGGGAACATGTGTTTTCATTAAAAAGAACAGAAAAGACTCTAAATTGTTAATTGTCCACAATAATTATTGCTATTAGATTTAGTGTGTTATGCTATAGTATTGCTGCTTACTTACCAGCAGAGTATTGCACCAATCCTCTGTCCAGGTACGTACTCTGCTCCAGCCAGCATTAAGGACACACAGCTTTTCTTCCAGGATGATCTCGCTTCCCTCCACTAGGCATTGCAGCGCTGCACTACTCTCCGTCACGCTGTTCAAATCAGCTTTCCTCCTCTCTAGCTCCTTCAGTACATTCTACAAAAGAAGCAGGCCTGATTATTCAGAGCACGCCGGCAAACCCTTCAAACTCCCTCTTGTTTCACACACTGTTTAGCAGCACAGGGCACTCACCATCTATTCTCCTCTCACCACTAACCTCAAAGTGCTTTAGTCACTGTAACTTACAACACCTATTATGTGCATATATTATTTTAAATCTGTAGAATGGCCAAAGCATAAAAACAGGAAATCGTGTTATAGGTACTACAGAGCTATACTTTATTCTACACCAAACCTAATGCTGTCATTTTATATATATATATATATATATATATATATATATATATATATATATATATATATATATATATATATATAATAACTTTATATATATATATATATATATATGTATATATACAGTGGGGCAAAAAAGTACCATATTTTTCTCCGTATAAGACGCACCTGACCATAAGACGCACCTAGGTTTTAGAGGCAGAAAACAGGAAAAAAAAAATTCTGAACTAATGGACTGCAGACACAGTACAGGAGATGACCAGAGACTGCGGACAGCACAGGGATGACCAAAGACTGCGGACAGCACAGGGATGACCAGAGACTGCGGACAGTACAGATGACTGCTGACCTTTGGGGAGGTGGGGAGTGGGTACCTGAATTTGACAGGTACCCGATCTTACCTGTTCTTCGATCCAGCCGCGCGCTGTCTTCCCGGCTTCTGTAATGGCGCTCGGCATGACAGCCGGGTGCCCAGTGCGCATGAGCGAGAAGCACTTGCGCTTTGTGATTGGTCCGGCGGCTTCTGGGATCTGTCATGTGTCTCAGGTGCCGCCTTACCATTCACAAAGCGCACCGCTTCTTGCGCATGCGCACTTGGCACCCGGCTGTCATGCCCAGTGCCCACACTACAGAAGCCGGGAAGACAGCACGCCGCTGGATAGAGGAACAGGTAAGGTCCCGCTGCAGAGCTGAGCGGCCGGCCCGGTATTCTGACACGGCCGCGGTGGAAATACTGGACCGGCCGCTCCATATTCGCCTTATAAGACGCACTGACATTTCCCCCCCAGTTTTGGGGAAGAAAAAGTGCGTCTTATACGGCGAAAAATACGGTATTTAGTCAGCCACCAATTGTGCAAGTTCTCCTACTTAAAAAGATGAGAGAGGCCTGTAATTGGCATCATAGGTAAACTTCAACTATGAGAGACAAAATGAGAAAAAAAATCCAGATAATCACATTGGCTGATTTGGAAAGAATTTATTTGCAAATTATGGCGGAAAATAAGTATTTGGTCACCTACAAACAAGCAAGATTTCTGGCTCTCACAGACCTGTACATTCTTCTTTAAAAGGCTCCTCTGTCCTGCACTCATTACCTGTATCAATGGCACCTGTTTGAGCTTGTTATCAGTATAAAAGACACCTGTCCACAACCTCAAACAGTCACACTCCAAACTCCACTATGGTGAAGACCAAAGAGCTTGCACAATTGGTGGCTGACTAAATACTTTTTTGAACGGTCTGGATAAAAGCGCACAGATGTGTCCCAAAGGAAATAAGTGAATGGTATATGTCAACTATGATTGGTGGGGAAAAAATTCACTGCTGCCATGGTAAAAACACATCGGTTTGTGGGAGGTATGAACAGGAGCCAGGCGCTGTGTAGTTTTGTGATAAAAATAATACACCTTGTATGGAGGTGTACCTTTAATAAGTCATATGGTAAAAAAATAAATAACCAGCCTGTGGCTTTAGGAAGCCAGGTTCCAAGATGGACGGCCCGTCCGCTCAGAGGGAAGCAGTGGAGTAGAATGCCTGTCAGTGGAGTAGAATGCATGCGTGCGAAACATGTTGTCCCGGCAACCGGCCTCTTCCTTCTAAAGCTGCGGCTCCAGCAAGAGTTCCCCCCCGCACTAAAAAGATGCAGAACCCTTTTTTTGGCCCGCACTAAAATCGGATCGCATGGGTATTCACACCTATGCGATCCAACTCTGCACATCGCATCGTGTTTTGCGGACCGATTTCGGGGTGTTGCTAACATACACACCCGCAGCGGTTCGCATGAACCGGGTGCAATTCTGATGCGGTGTGGAAGTCGCACAGAAAACGCTGCAAATTCTGCACCGCATCAGTGTGAACCCAGCCGAAAGTATATTTGCACTTTTGCAGCCAAACTAGGATAACACCTCCTTTATATTTGTTACATGTTCCTATTAAAGCAGATCTCCACACGATTCGCCCCCTTGTTTTTTTTTTTCACGCTACTTACCTTAAAGCGCCATTGGCACATTTTAGATATTCAGCCATCCGGTGGATCCAGCATTGTCCTGTTGAGATCCTCTCATGGCCAGCCACAGCTCTGTCCCACGCCACCATGTTCTTTCTGAGGTCATTGAGGCCTCCTGATGATGTGCTAATAGGTACGCCCACTCCTCCTTTCCTGAATGAAAGGATATGCCTCCAGGGATATGTGATGTGCATATCCCAGGAGGCAGGGTGAGTGTGCATGCCATTCAACTAAGGTGAATGACAAGCATGGGGAGGCGGGGCTGGACATTTTTACTTAAAAAAAGGTACAAAAACAAAATAAAACACACAGCGCAATACATATAGAGGATGGAAGGAGGAGTGGAGTGGAGGGAAATAGTGGAGATGGGTGAACGTGCGATTTAACATTGCGTAACGTGTAAAAATAAATAATTGCATCAAATTTGCTGCTTGTCTTATATTTGTTTAATTATTTTTATTGTTTGTATGATGTGTCAGTTTCAACACATAACAAATATATGGGGTTTCTCAAATTTGACTGCAAGGGTAGAAATAAATTTTTTAGCAGTCCTAGGCATTACCGTATACTAGGAATGTTTGCATAATTTCACACAGGCTTCACCTTATTTTTTAAGCTCTGAAACATTGATTTTGCAGTATTTTTTTTTTTTTGTTTTGTTCTTTATTTGCCTTCTGTGTTTCCTTGAAGAGATTTACCTTCAATTCCTGTCTTGCAACCAGTCCAATAGGAAACTCTATTACAAAAACCAAACTTCTTTACAGTGTACAGCCTAAACAATTTTTATTTTTATTTTTGAATAAGAAAGGGTCATAACCCTTGATAGTTTATTTTTTGCCTGAGATTTCTCCTGCTTACTGTCCCAGAATGGCACGTGAGAGGAAAATTCTCCCCAAGTGCAACTCAAAATATTTGATTTTCCTTCACTTTCCATCTCGCTGACACTGGTCACCAGGACAAATAGGGAAGTTCAATATCCCTAGAAGAGACACAGACAGCAATAAAAAAAAAACCTAACAATGGTTCTATTACCTTCCCTACTTTATCCAAACAAAAAAAAAGTTTAAGTTATTAGACTTCATTCACACAGGGCGCATATATTGTATGTGTTTGCACACACCCACACGTATGTCACATTGGGAGCAGCGGCTGTGTCCATGCAGCCACTGCGTTCCATTTGACAGCAACTGGGCTGACTGCACGGAGATGCATGGAACACCAGTGCATAACCATGCAGGTAAACACAGCCCTCCATGGGCATGCGGTTATGTACGTGCTGTGTGAACGAGGCCTTAGATACACTTTACCTGAACAGTCTCTTCTTTTTTAGCAAATCAACTCCACAGCCTTTGAAGGCCCCTAAGAGTAAAGCCTTCAACAGCACATATAAGCCCTGGTTTAGATTAAAGTGTATGTCAAGGCAAAAAAAAAAACCAAACATACTTAGTACATCTCTGAACTACATGCACATTTCATCTTGCTTTATCCTATATGCTATATTTACCAGCCTCAAGTATAGAATATAACTGTTAATGTATCATATAATGTATAATGTAAGGAAAAGAGATTAGTCTCCAAATACGGAAAGGTTTCTTCACAGTAAGGGCTGTGAAAATGTAGAATAGACTCCCTCAAGAGTTGGTTCTGGCCAGCTCAGTGGATTGCTTTAAAAAAGGCCTGGATTCTCTCTTAGATACACAGAATATAACTGGTTACTAACATTTATAGGTAAAGTTGATCCAGGGAATATCCGATTGCCTCTTGGGGGTCCAGGAAGGATTTTTTTCCCCTGAAGGAGCAACTTGGATCATGCTTTGCTGGGTTTTTTTTGCCTTCCTCTGGATCATTAGTGGGTATATGATTATAACCTTATTTTTTGGTTGAACTGGATAGACTTTTGTCTTTTGCAGCCAGACTAACTATGTAACTATGTATGAGAAATAAAGTGCGCTCCTACTCCTCTTTAAGATGACAAAACAGCTCTTAATTTTTAAACACGTTGTTAGCCCAGCCTTTTTAATTTTTGACGGATTACAAAGAACACAGACCTCTCCTCACTGGAAGGTATCAGATCAACAAGTATCCTTTGCATTCATTGAACAGATATGCCAAAACACTTTCAATGGTATATTTAGCAGACCAAAAGAGAGCAAATAGGAGAAATTCATTGTTAGGATTACATCCACTTTAAGGTTCTTTTTGCCATTAATTTACAAGGAAGAAGCATTTTTAACCTGCACAACTGTTCTGTTTCATTTATGAATTATTATCCAATTAACAAATGTCTGGCCCTCCTAGAGAAACTAAATTCTTTTTCAATAAAATGATTTCTACAAGTTGAAAATAATTCCAAAGTACAGAAATTCTGCTGCCAACAAAGTTTTAAAGAGTAAAGAAAAAGCATTAATATAAACAGATTCAGTAAATATCCATCAACAGAATTTATGCAGCATGCAATTTGCAATTTGAAGCGATTAAAGATTCATTATCCAAAAGTAATTTGCATCCTGGTGCAGCTAAGCCACAAGTGAGTTATAATTAAGTCATTTAATAAGTCAGGCACAATTTGTTTTTGCTGTGTACTCATAATTCAGAAAGAAATCTCAGCCCAATTAATGCTGATGCAGTGGCAAGCTGTGTGTATTTTGTTATT